CTGGAAGTACGTCATCACCGAGGGTCCGCGCAAGGGGCACATCGGCACCACCACGCAGGCGACCTTCTGCGTCAACGAGCTCTGGAACGGCATCGAGTACCGTGCTCCTACCTCCGACCTCACCCCGACGGACATCGAGGGCGCGTGGCCGGAGCCTGTGACCGCGGACGAGACGCCCGACGAGTCGGACAAGGCTACGCTCGACAACAACGTGACCCGCGGCGACTCCGTCTTCCTCCCCACCACCGACAACCACGCCGGGGGGCTGACCCTCGACGAGGAGGTGGTGATCATGCCAGACCCGGCCAACGACGGCAACGTCAACCCGCCCGCAGCGGGTGCGCCTGCGCCGCGCACCACCCGCAGCCGCGGCGGCGTCTCGACGGGCGAGTACAACAACATGCTCAACGCCCGCCTCGCCGCCAATGCCACGCCCTTCGGCATCTGGGCGGCTGCGGCGGCCGCATCCCCATCGTCGTCGGTCTACCGCAACACCACGGACCAGTGCGTCGCATACATGTCGAGCGTGGACGGCCAGGTCATGCCCATGCCGGACAACATCGTGCCCAAGCACTACAAGGACATCGCCAACATCCGCGACCCCAAGCTGCGCGACGCGTGGTACAAGGCGTATGACACCGAGTTCCTCGGCCTCATCCAGAACGGCACGCTCAAGCCCATGCGCCGCCCCGCCAAGGTGCGCGTCCTCCCGCTGAAGGAGATCGCCTCCCGGAAGTCCGACGGCCGGTGCAAGTGGCGCGGCTGTGTCATGGGCAACCTGATGCGGCCCGGCGTCGACTTCACCAAGACCTTCGCGAGCGTCGTCCGCTACGGCACGACCCGCACCGTGCTCAACGTGGCCGCGCAGGAGGACATGGAACTCATCACGTGCGACCAGCCCATGGCGTACACCTGGGCGGAGCGCGGGGAGGGCGAGACCTGGTACTGCGAGATGCCGAAGGGGCTCAAGGGCAAGCCCGAGTACTGCTACATCGACCCCATCACCGGCGAGGAGAAGGACATGGTGTGCGAGGTCGGCAACCTCTACGGCGCACCATCCGCAGGTAACGCTTGGTGGAACCACGTCAAGTCCATCAACAAGGCGTTTCCTGGGCTCGTTCAGTCCGAGGCGGACCCGAGCTGCTTCGTCCTCACCCGCAACAGCACGAAACTCATCGTCGTCATCTACGTGGACGACTTCGGCATCTTCCACTCCGGGACCACCGCTGGCAGGGCGCTCGCGCACGAGTACATCGAGCACTTCAACAAGCACGTCGGCAAGCCGCTCAAGGTCCACGAGGGAAAGGTGCACGAGTTCCTCGGGCTCAACATCACCAAGACGCAGACCGGTTTCAAGCTGTCTGCCAGCAAGTACATCGACACGCTGCGCGCGCGCTTCTTCCCGTCAGGCGTCACGCACGCGGGCTACAAGGTGCCCGCGGACAAGGACCTCCCGTCCATCGTCATCAGCGCAGCCGAGAAGAAGACCGCGCCCGACCCGCAGCTCCTCCAGCGCTGCCAGTGCCTCATCGGCAGCCTCATGTTCGCCACCAACGCGCGCCCCGACATCCAGTACACCGTCTCGCAGCTGGCGCGCTGCATGGCTTGGCCCGACGCGAACATCGAGGCCGCCGCCGAGCGCTGCCTCATCTACCTCATCGGCACGCAGGACCTCGGCCTCCACTACGAGCGCGTCGCCGACCCCAAGCTCTTCGGCTGCTCCGACGCGAACTGGTGCACCCGCCAGAGCACCTCCGGCTGCGCCTTCAAGATCGGCACCGCGATCATCTCGTACTTCTCCAAGAAGCAGGGTCACATCTCCCTCTCGACATTCGAGGCCGAGATCTCTGCCGGCACGCTGGCGGCTTGCGAGGCGGTCCACCTGCGCTCGCTCCTCGCGTCGCTCGGCTACAAGCCCAAGGGCCCGACCATCATCAAGATCGACAACACGGCCGCGCTGCGCGTCGCCGAGGACCCGGTCATGCACGACAAGACGAAGCACATCCTGCGCAAGGAGCTCAAGATTCGCGAGCTCGTCGAGTCCGGGGAGGTCAAGGTCGAGTACGTCGAGAGCCTCAAGAACTTCGCCGACTTCTTCACCAAGCCGCTCCCGCGCAAGGAGTTCGAGTCGTTCCGCAAGGAGATCATGAACGACACCGCCTAGGACGGCACAGAGGGGAAACGCCGACTTCCCCTTCATCAAATGTAGTCGACAACCGGCAGTATGGGCGCTCCTGGAGCTCCCCGAGTCACTTGTATGTTCGTCCTCCACCCTTGAGGAGGCTGCGCAATTGTGCGCGCGATAGTAGGAGATGTAGGAGTCGTCTAGCTTCTTCAGATCCTCAGCCTCGCTACCCGATGCGAGGATGGGGGGCTGTTGAAGACCGACGACCGCGCAGCCGTCTAGTCTACGGCCACACACACACACATAGTGTCCTTACCACCCCTGGACTGCATCTGCGCAGTTTCGTACCGCTGCGGCGCGGTTTTGCAAAAACCGTTCTGCAGCGGCGCGGTTTTGCCCTTCACCCGCAGCCTGGATTGATAGTCATTGTGGGTGTGGGGGCCGCGGGCCAGTACTTTTGTTTGAACAAAGTTTTGACAGTACATTTCTGTCGGGCCTTGGAACAGCTTGTGAGTGGTCACTGAAGACCTTCACATCCCGTCAGGCGTCACGCACGCGGGCTACAAGGTGCCCGCGGACAAGGACCTCCCGTCCATCGTCATCAGCGCAGCCGAGAAGAAGACCGCGCCCGACCCGCAGCTCCTCCAGCGCTGCCAGTGCCTCATCGGCAGCCTCATGTTCGCCACCAACGCGCGCCCCGACATCCAGTACACCGTCTCGCAGCTGGCGCGCTGCATGGCTTGGCCCGACGCGAACATCGAGGCCGCCGCCGAGCGCTGCCTCATCTACCTCATCGGCACGCAGGACCTCGGCCTCCACTACGAGCGCGTCGCCGACCCCAAGCTCTTCGGCTGCTCCGACGCGAACTGGTGCACCCGCCAGAGCACCTCCGGCTGCGCCTTCAAGATCGGCACCGCGATCGTCTCGTACTTCTCCAAGAAGCAGGGTCACATCTCCCTCTCGACATTCGAGGCCGAGATCTCTGCCGGCACGCTGGCGGCTTGCGAGGCGGTCCACCTGCGCTCGCTCCTCGCGTCGCTCGGCTACAAGCCCAAGGGCCCGACCATCATCAAGATCGACAACACGGCCGCGCTGCGCGTCGCCGAGGACCCGGTCATGCACGACAAGACGAAGCACATCCTGCGCAAGGAGCTCAAGATTCGCGAGCTCGTCGAGTCCGGGGAGGTCAAGGTCGAGTACGTCGAGAGCCTCAAGAACTTCGCCGACTTCTTCACCAAGCCGCTCCCGCGCAAGGAGTTCGAGTCGTTCCGCAAGGAGATCATGAACGACACCGCCTAGGACGGCACAGAGGGGAAACGCCGACTTCCCCTTCATCAAATGTAGTCGACAACCGGCAGTATGGGCGCTCCTGGAGCTCCCCGAGCCACCTGTATGTTCGTCCTCCACCCTCGAGGAGGCTGCGCAATTGTGCGCGCGATAGTAGGAGATGTAGGAGTCGTCTAGCTTCTTCAGATCCTCAGCCTCGCTACCCGATGCGAGGATGGGGGGCTGTTGAAGACCGACGACCGCGCTGCCGTCTAGTCTACGGCCACACACACACACATAGTGTCCTTACCACCCCTGGACTGCATCTGCGCAGTTTCGTACCGCTGCGGCGCGGTTTTGCAAAAACCGTTCTGCAGCGGCGCGGTTTTGCCCTTCACCCGCAGCCTGGATTGATAGTCATTGTGGGTGTGGGGGCCGCGGGCCAGGACTTTTGTTTGAACAAAGTTTTGACAGTACATTTCTGTCGGGCCTTGGAACAGCTTGTGAGTGGTCACTGAAGACCTTCACAGTACGCGCCCGGACTCGCCATGCCTCTCGTCAGCGTCAAGGAGTGCAAGGCGCAGAACATCGTGGTCCGCTTCGACCTCTGCCCACCACGCCTCAACTACCCCTCCGGGCAGACCATCTACTTCGGGGAGGACTTCAACATCCACCTGATGCCGCTCGGCGCATCCGTCGGCGCCATGTCCGGCATGGGCATGATCTGGCCGTCCACGCTCGACATGTACGCGACGCACTGATCCGTGGTGTTGCGGTAGACCGACGACGATGGGGATGCGGCCGCCGCAGCCGCCCAGATACCGAAGGGCGTGGCATTGGCGGCGAGGCGGGCGTTGAGCATGTTGTTGTACTCGCCCCAAGCACTACAAGGACATCGCCAACATCCGCGACCCCAAGCTGCGCGACGCGTGGTACAAGGCGTATGACACCGAGTTCCTCGGCCTCATCCAGAACGGCACGCTCAAGCCCATGCGCCGCCCCGCCAAGGTGCGCGTCCTCCCGCTGAAGGAGATCGCCTCCCGGAAGTCCGACGGCCGGTGCAAGTGGCGCGGCTGTGTCATGGGCAACCTGATGCGGCCCGGCGTCGACTTCACCAAGACCTTCGCGAGCGTGGTCCGCTACGGCACGACCCGCACCGTGCTCAACGTGGCCGCGCAGGAGGACATGGAACTCATCACGTGCGACCAGCCCATGGCGTACACCTGGGCGGAGCGCGGGGAGGGCGAGACCTGGTACTGCGAGATGCCGAAGGGGCTCAAGGGCAAGCCCGAGTACTGCTACATCGATCCCATCACCGGCGAGGAGAAGGACATGGTGTGCGAGGTCGGCAACCTCTACGGCGCACCATCCGCAGGTAACGCTTGGTGGAACCACGTCAAGTCCATCAACATGACATCGTGATTTCCGCGGAAATTTTCTTTTTCTGCTGTGAAAATTCCAGCGTGAAGAGAGGGGAAAACCCGACGGGAGGGCCAAGACCTACCCTACCTACCCCGGCATGAGGTCCGCCCAAGCAAAACTAAAACAACTTCGTTTTTCTTACATTCACACGCTGAGAAAAATAACTCTGTCCTGAGCAGTTGTGCTCTGCTATGATGCAGGGTACCGCCTTTGCGGGCTGGGGGGAGAAGGAGGGCCCCCGCGGGGGGAGTCCGCGCTCGACGATGGACGACCTCTTCGAGAACTCGCCGGCGGAGTACTCCATGGAGTACTTCTTCGACGAGCTCGAGTCGGTCGCGGAGGAGGAGGAGGGGGGGCGTAGCGGCGGCACGCCTTCGGACTCGCAGCCGGGCACGCAGACGCTTGCCGAAGCGGTCGAGGCCATCCTGAGCATCGAACGGATCCTCCACGCGATGCAGTACGTCGAGCTCACCGATCTCCGGACGTTGCGGAAGACGTTGGCGCTCGCGCACGTCAAGCTGACAACGTTCGCGCCGCAACATCTGGCGGCGGCCAAGCGCGCGTACGAGGTCGCAGGCCGCCCGGTGCCCGCGCTTCTCGATGTCCTCGTCGGCCAGCTGTCCAGGCCGCTCAGCGCGTGCCACCCGCCGCCCGCGCCGGCGCTGCCCGGATGCGCGGCGCTGCCGATCGCCAACCTGGCCGCGACGATGGACCTGCTGCAGCGCGAGGCGCAGCTCGAGGAGGGTTGGGCCGCCCGCCCCTCCTCGCTGCACCCCGCCGCCCGCCCCACCGTGGTCGAGGTCCCCGTCGACTTCTCGCGCTATGCGTCAATGCCTATTGGCGTCGGCCGCGCTTAGAGGGGAGGACCCCTTGTACACTTGCCATCCACACGCGCCCCGGCATGTCGAGCCGCTCGACGCTTGCTGGCGGCGCGTCCACTAGTCATGACTGCTCAACCCCCCGCCCCGCCCCCGCGCCGTTGCTAGCCTCTGAGGCGGCGACGGCCGGGGGCGCGCGCATGGCCACACAACCCATATTCGCATGGCCACAACCCATATTACCTAGCCGGCTCTCGTCGCTGGGCCGCCCGCGTCGAATGTTGGTTGGGGGGGTGCCGGCAATGGAACCCGCTCCTCATTGTACACTTTCCCTTTGCATGCCGGTGCCGCTCGCTGAGTCGCTCAGCAGGTTTGCATGCCGGTGCCCCGCTCGCTGAGTCGCTCAGCCGCAGGAGCCGGGAGCGGGACGCCGTCCGTTGCGCGCGCGTTTAGCGGGTCGCCCGCGACGCGCGCGCGCACGGCACAGTTTTCGGTTCGCATATGCAAAATGTATCCAGTTTCGCGGAGAGCCGTATATCCGCTCGGCACACGGCAGACTCGCAGAGACTCGCGACTCGGACTGCACGCGAGACAGCCCACACACACACCCCTTAATCCGCGAGACCGAGGCACAGACCGCGGCTCCGCGAGACGGACAAGGCGACGCGCCAGCCGTCCCGACCGGGTCCACGTCCAGGCCTCCAGCCGTGCGCGGCAATTATGAATTAATAGAGTATGGAGAAAAGGTGGGTGACGCGTCGGCCGAGAGGCGCGCCCGGCCGCCCTGGTCGAGCAGCCACGGTCCTCACCTCGACAAGGTTCCTGCGGCGATGGCGCCCAGAGCCGCGCCAACGCAATACACCTCGACGAGGTCGGTGTAGCGCCCGGCAAACAGGGCGCCCGCAAAGGCGGCGGATGGGTCCATGCATGCGCCTCCGATCCGAATGAGGAGAATGACGATTGTGGCAACCTTGAGCGGCGTGCCCGTGCCTAAGGCGCTGCTGTTGAGCGCCAGGAGGCAGTTGGCGCCAGCGAACAGCGCTTCGTGCAGTATCGCAGACGAGTAGCTGCCTTCGGCGGGCGGCGGAGGGCCGATGGCGCCGTGCAGGTCCAGCGGAGCCAGCGCGCGAATAGCCTCGACGGCGACGGCAGAGCCAGCGAACTGGGCGCCGATGTAGAGCACGGCGTCGGACTGCGCGAGCTTGCCGGCGGCGCATGCCGCGAGGGTGATTGCCGAGTTGAGAAACGCCCCCGACGGAAAGGCGAGGAGGACGATGAGCAGCCAGACGGTGGCCTGCACCACGGCCGCGGTCGCATCGCCTCCGAGCGCGCACCACGCCGAACCCACGATGGCGGCGTGGACGAAGAGCTTGAAGGCAAAGCTCCCTAGAGCCTCAACCACGAGCGCCCTCGCCAGGCCCCGGCGCGCCGCCGCGGCGAGGTAGAGGAGCAGCGGGATGCACCAGCAGCAGAGAATCGCCACCAGCACCGGGGCGATCTCCACCGCCGGGTCGGCGGGCGGAGGAGGAGGCGGAGGTCGGCGGAAGGGCCACGGCATTGGCGAACGCAACTCTGGCGAGACCTCGATAGGGTTCGGTCCTCGGATCTGTCTAGCGTCCACCCATACCGCGTTGGTGTCCAGTCCGAGCCTGGCTGTTCTTCACCTTACTACCTACCTACCTACCTCGGTGGTGCCGCGGGCGGTTGTCGCCCCCCCCTCAACCATCTGGTTGACGGTTGAGACCCCCCGACCATGCCAAGAGCGAGGACTGCACCCCCCCACTGTCTCTTGCAGGCGAGGAAAGCACAACTCAAATCGATGGGCTTGCCCCACCCATCCCGGAGTGGTTCGACTCCATCCACACAAATCCGAGACGGTGATGGATGCGTCGTACGGTGGTCTCATGCCCAGTGAGGTAGTGCATCTGACCACTCCGGATCCTGCTGAACAAGTTCCTCTTGTAGCTCGATCGGTCACACCGCCATCGCCGTCGGGGAGAGGGGGGACGACACTGCTTCTCTGCAGCGTGCACCTCGATCCTGTACCGTGTTTGTTATGACCCCCCCCCAATGAACACACCACAGTGAGGGAGGGCGAGACGATCGAGGGGTCCCGTACCATGCGGAATCGACCCTATCCAGTGCTCAAGTGCTCAAGCAGCACTCCTCTCATGATCGTGTCGGCCGTCTCCGTCTCGTGCACGATGGCGTCCGAGCGCAAAGCCGCGAGCGGCGTCGGCAGGAGGTTGGTCGCGAGGAGCGCGGCGCCCGCGCCTACTTGGCCTGTCCAAGGGTTTCCTGCTAGTTTCCCTAGTACCCAGAGCACCCTCTAGTTTCCCGGGCTCTGAGCCGAGTCTGAGGCTGGTTTGGGCCCCAAATCTAACTGACACCGGTCACCGCAAACCCTGTCAGCAGTCCACCTTCGTTCGGGTAGCGCACCGTGATCCTCGTCGGCATCCGCGCGGGGGTGCCCTGCTGCCGGGCCTGCGCGGCCCGCCACGTAGAGGTGCGTTCACAGCGCCAATTTGGCCCGCTCTTCGGCTCGCTCCGCTCGCCGGTGAGTTGGTTGGTTGCTGGCAGCACCCCAGCACCGGGGGGTCCTGAGAGCTGTTGGTTGCCGCTCGATTCACAGCACAGTGCGGAACAAGGGTTGCAACCTGACCTGGTAATAGACCGGATCGGTAATGTTTTTGCCCTCCGCCCGCGATGGAGGCCTTTTTGAGCGTCGCCGCCAGCTCGCTCCTGGCGGCCCGACTGTGGCCGGCTATCCGCGAGAGTCGACTCCTGGGCGTGTTCCGTGGTCCCGCGCCCGGATTCCGGCCCAGGAGGCTCTCGAGCGGCACACTGGTGACCCGCTGCTCGACGCTCTCGTTCAAGCGTCGACCGGACACAACGCCGCTCGTAGGCCGCCACGACCAGGCTGGTCGGCATCTGAGTTGAGGCCTGCACCAAGCTGCACGAGTGCATCGGCCGTGGCCGCAGCAGGTCCATCCGACGGGCGTCAAAGCTTGCCGTCGGCGTGCTGTCGTGGGAGAGCCCGAGACAGCTGCAGAGGAGCCGAGTGCAGTGGCGAGCCAGGGGCGGCCTGGGTCACCAAGTGGCGGTCCTTGCCCACTCTGAGCAGGACTGTGCTTTGGTGGGGTTGTGCTTGAGCGTGTGTGAAGTGGGAGTGCGTGCCGGCGGTGTCTGTGAGCTCGTATGTGCGTGCGAGGGCCGTGTGTAGGGTCTTACGAGCCGGTGTGAGCTTGAAGACCCGAGACAAGTGCGGTTTGGGACACCTCAGGCCTGATACTGATGGGACTGGGCCAGGAGAGCGACAGAGAAGGCGAGGTGGTGAGCTGAGAGGCTGGAGCTGAGAGGCTGAGCTGGCCCTGCCCTCTGCCCTCGGGTGTCTTGCTTCTGCTTGTGTGTATCGCTTCGCCTGCGGCGCGCTGTTGCGCTCCTCGTACCTCGAGCGCAATCCATAGTCCTGAGAAGACTGACTCGGCGCGTGGCGGGCTGGAGGCAGTCGGCTACATGCGGCTCCTCTCCTGGTCATGGGCCGTCGCTGCGCTGGCGATGGCGCCTTTCGTGATACCGTGGGCCTACGCCAGCATCGTCCTCAACTACCTCGTCCTGGGCGACTTCGATGGCGTCCTTCCAGGCCTCGGCGCGACGCCTGCTCGCCGCGTCTCGATGGGCGCGCACATGGTCCTCGGCGCCGTCGCGCTATTCCTGGGCCCGAGTCAATTCTCGCCGGCCCTCCGTCGGAGGGTGCCGCGACTCCACCGTTGGTCGGGCCGGCTGTACGTTGCCTCCGCCTGTGGCGCCTCGCTGTGCGGATGTTTCTTCGTCCTGCTCAAGGGCTTCAAGCTCTCCGGTGGGTACAACATGGGCGCCGCCTTCCTCCTCGCGGGAGGCTGGTTCGGCGTCGCCGCCGCCATGACCGCGGTCCGCGCGCGGCAGCAGCGGTACGCAGCGCACCGCGCGTGGGCGATCCGCTCCTACTCGCAGGTCCTGGCGCCGATGCTCTACAGATACTGGTACGTGGCCGCCACTGCGCTGTTTGGGTGCCGGCCAATCGCTGCCGCACGTGCCTGCACGGACGGCCTCTCTTCACGGCGCTTTGAGCTGTGAGCAGGTACCGCCCGCCGCGCGAGGCGCGAGAGTACCCGGGCGGCACGTGCGACGGCGACACCTGCGCCGACTACTTCCGGCCCTTCGACATGCTGCACGCGCGGAGCCTAGATGCGGAAGCACCAAACCCCGCGCGCTCGATCCCACCTCTCACAGCTGCGGCCCAGGGGGGTGAAGGCTGCGCATGAAGGCCACACTCACTCTCCCCTCTCGCGCGTGTTCTCCCGGCTTCGGGTTGGAGGCCGCCACGGCCCACGCCGCTCGAGCACTCGCCGCATCCAATGTCAGCGCGTCGGCACGAGCTCACGGAGGATGGTCGGGCAGTGCAGTGCGCCCGCGCCTCCCACTCACTCCCCCGCCCCCCAGCACAGGCGTGGACTTACTGGCTCTCGTCGGTGCTCGTCGCCGAGCTCCTCGTCCACGCACTGCGGCGCGCCGCCGCCGCCGCCACCAGCCCGCTCTCCCCATGACACGTCCATGACACGTCAACGGCGTGGCGGCCACGGCACGTGCATCACACGCCCACGACACGCCCGCGACACGCCCGCGACGCGTCCACGCCCATGGCACGTGCGTGGCAGGCGCGCGCCGCCGCCCGAGCGCGCGCTCGAGAAGCCGCGGCTGAGGGCGCACTTGCTGACCGGCGGCCCTGCAGACACTGCGCCCGAGCAAGGCGCGGGGTGCGTGCGGGCGGCCGACGACGCGGAGGCCGCACTGGCGCCCGAGGCTGCGGCTGTGGATGCCGCGGCGGCCGCGGCCGCCCCTTCCGCCGCCGCCGTCGAGGAGGACACCTCTCGGGGAGGAGAGGCGCGTGCCAGCGGCGGGGCGAAGCTGGCCTTCGACGCGGCGGGAGGGGTGGTGGCGCTGGTTGCCATCGCGTGCTCGTCGGCCATCTTTGCGGCGATGCCCGCGCTGCCTCGGCCCGGCCCCTCCGCCACTAACGCCACCGCGCTGTGATTCTTCTGGTTGGTGGATGCGGCGGTGGGCAGGTGCCATCTGTGCTGCGCGCACCCGTGCCGCTTGTTTCATGTTTGGGGCGCTCGTGGAAGGCTCAGATCTGTGGGTGACTGTGGGACGCCCCCCGTGGGGCGCGCGGTGTGTCACTGTCAGCGCCTCGAGAGTTTTTCTCTCTCACCCCTCGTCACACGTCACAAGTCAGTAGTCACAACCCGACAAAGACGAAAGAGCGGCTCCGGCTCAGGTCGTGGGGCATAGCTCGGGTGTAAACGGGGTCTGGGGAGGAAGCCCCAGCGGCCCGCCGCAGGCGCCGCCGGAGGCTGGCCCGCCGCAGGCGCCGCCGGAGGCTGGCCCGCCGCAGGCGCCGATTTTTTGGCGTTTTTTCTCAAAATTGAGGGATTTCTCATCTAAATTCTCATCCAAAATCGAGCTCGCTACGAGCTCTCTAACTGCACAGCATCTCCTCGTGTTGAGCCTAGGGCTCCGGCTCAGGTCAGAGGGCCCAGCGACTCGTCGGTTGGGTGTAAACGGGCATCCCCGAGTGGCTTCAAACCAAACAGGGTGTGAATAGAGCTGTCTTGATGGTGCTGAGGACGAAGCCACCTCAAACTTTGATGAAGCCGCGAGTTTTTATAGTTTTCATTAGCTGTGAATAGTTATTGCGCCCGCCGCAGCCCGCCCTATTCCACTGGGCACGCGCCACGGGCCACGAGAGCCCTGGAAGAGCCCAGCTGGCATGTTCTATCGCCCGGGTGGCGGGCTGTCTGCATACAGACGTCTCGTCGCCATGGCTGACGCACGACTGGTCCGACGTGCGGTGGGAGTTTGACCTCAGACAGGCCGTCGGTGTCGGCGGGCTGACGGCGGCCGCCGGAATCGCGATTCGCTCTGCCAGCTGCCAGCAGCCTCGTGTCGCGGCTCTCACAGGTGCAGCTGCCAGCAGCCTCATGTCGCGGCTCTCAGCGGTGGTGATTGGTCTTTGCGCCGTCGCTCGACGGCGTCACCACCCATCCGATCTGCGCAGCTCCTGCAGCTCCTGCAGCTCCTGCAGCTCCTGCTGTCAGTCTTCTACTCTCACTCGCCGCGCGCGGATTGTGCGCCGCACCAGCAGGACACATGCTCATGCAAACAGTGCGAGAACTTGGTTGCGCCGCTTAGTGGCGGCGCTGCTTTAGAGGAAGCGGCAGCGTGGGAAGCACAGCAGATGGAGGCGGCGCGGCATGCCAAGGAGCTGCAATCGCAGTACTGGGGGCGGCAGCGCCAGCAACGAGCAAGGAGAGACGGGCAGAGGTTGAGCGGCTGAGTGCAGCAAGGGCCAAGGGCAAGAAAAAGGAATGTGGGCGTGGGCGATACGGGCGCCGCTAGGCTCAACACGAGGAGATGCTGTGCAGTTAGAGAGCTCGTAGCGAGCTCGATTTTGGATGAGAATTTAGATGAGAAATCCCTCAATTTTGAGAAAAAACGCCAAAAAATCGGCGCCTGCGGCGGGCCAGCCTCCGGCGGCGCCTGCGGCGGGCCAGCCTCCGGCGGCGCCTGCGGCGGGCCGCTGGGGCTTCCTCCCCAGACCCCGTTTACACCCGAGCTATGCCCCACGACCTGAGCCGGAGCCCTAGCGGCGCCCGTATCGCCCACGCCCACATTCCTTTTTCTTGCCCTTGGCCCTTGCTGCACTCAGCCGCTCAACCTCTGCCCGTCTCTCCTTGCTCGTTGCTGGCGCTGCCGCCCCCAGTACTGCGATTGCAGCTCCTTGGCATGCCGCGCCGCCTCCATCTGCTGTGCTTCCCACGCTGCCGCTTCCTCTAAAGCAGCGCCGCCACTAAGCGGCGCAACCAAGTTCTCGCACTGTTTGCATGAGCATGTGTCCTGCTGGTGCGGCGCACAATCCGCGCGCGGCGAGTGAGAGTAGAAGACTGACAGCAGGAGCTGCAGGAGCTGCAGGAGCTGCAGGAGCTGCGCAGATCGGATGGGTGGTGACGCCGTCGAGCGACGGCGCAAAGACCAATCACCACCGCTGAGAGCCGCGACATGAGGCTGCTGGCAGCTGCACCTGTGAGAGCCGCGACACGAGGCTGCTGGCAGCTGGCAGAGCGAATCGCGATTCCGGCGGCCGCCGTCAGCCCGCCGACACCGACGGCCTGTCTGAGGTCAAACTCCCACCGCACGTCGGACCAGTCGTGCGTCAGCCATGGCGACGAGACGTCTGTATGCAGACAGCCCGCCACCCGGGCGATAGAACATGCCAGCTGGGCTCTTCCAGGGCTCTCGTGGCCCGTGGCGCGTGCCCAGTGGAATAGGGCGGGCTGCGGCGGGCGCAATAACTATTCACAGCTAATGAAAACTATAAAAACTCGCGGCTTCATCAAAGTTTGAGGTGGCTTCGTCCTCAGCACCATCAAGACAGCTCTATTCACACCCTGTTTGGTTTGAAGCCACTCGGGGATGCCCGTTTACACCCAACCGACGAGTCGCTGGGCCCTCTGACCTGAGCCGGAGCCAGCGGCCAAGAGACTCGCTCCCTCCGCGGCGAATAGAGTTGGAGCATGGAGGGCTGCGGGCTGCGCCCCTCGTGGTCGTGGCTCGTGCGGCGCAGAGGCCTGCGCGGGGCCCTACTAGCCGCCGGCATCGCGGGCCAGACCTCGCGCCAGACGTGGTTCTTCATGTGCTGGATCGCGACGTACACCGAGTCTTCGCCGCGGCCGGTGCGCACACCTCACCACCGCCACCTCCTCTCGCCCGTTGTTCTGGCCGGAGAAGTCCCAGCGGCTCGCCTTCGACGTGCAAGGGCTCCAACTGCCTTCCGCCTCTGTATGTAACTTCTGTAGGGTGTTGCCCCCCCTTGGGGCAAGTCCCGACAGTGAGAGCTACTGGCCTTCGCCGTTTCCTCCCCGTGCTCCGAAGAGCGACATATACACCAGCGGCCAAGTAATCAGTGTTGCTCATCGGATCAGCAAGAGCCGCGTGTTAGTCCATACTTGCCGACCGTTTCAGCGCCAGGTAGTCGCCCACGTCAAGGTACACGATTGCGGCCGCGTTGGCCATGATGATGTCGCCCTGTGCATCCGCCCCGCACCCTCCCGGGATGGCGAGGCCGCCCTCGACGACCCTGATGGAGCGCTCGCCTGCAGCGGCGACAGCGGCGCGGCGCGTGAGGAAAGGCCTCTCCGACAGGCGACAGGGCGCGCCGCGCCGTACGGCAGCACGGCGAGGACCGCCGACTCGTCCACCGCCGCCGGCTTCGGCACGCCGACCACAACCTCGATTTTCATCTCCTCCGGGCGCTTGTCGAGCGCGCGGTAGGCCGTCATGGAGACGCGCCACAGGGCGTCTTCCAGCGCACGCACGGCCGCTGCCGTGTGATCCTGCCGCCGCAGGCTCGTGCCGGTTCCCATCTCGACTGCAAAGCGCCGCCACTCGGGGCGGTGGACTGCTGTGTCGCTCATGGCAGCGCGCGCGCAGGTCGCCCGCTGCTGCGGCCACAGCAGCCGCTGGCTTGAGCAGCCAGCTAGACCGGCGGCCGCGGCCGTGGCGCCGAGGCTGAAAGCGACGCGTCGGAGCGACATCGTTGTGTTTGCTCCAACGTGTATTTATACTGTCCCGTTTTGCTGTTCACAGCTAGGGACGGCCTCTGCGGCAAAGAAAAATCACCCCCACCTCCCTCCCTCCCTCCCACCACGGCAAACCTTCGGCTCCCGCTCAGAGGCTCGCCGCGCCCGTGCGGCGCGCCGAGGCGGCGCCGAGGCCGGCGCCTTGCACCCGGCCCGCGGCCGGCACCGCCTCGCCCCACAACTGACCGCCCTGCGGCCCCTGCGCAGGCGTACCACAGGCGTCGCTCAAAAAGCGACGCCGGGTGTGGGCTGCTCCCTTGAACCGTCACCCGCCGCGCCCTCGCCCGGCCGCCTCACCGCTCACGGAGCGTGCTCGCCGCCGCCGCCGCGCGTCCCGCGCCGCCACGCATGCCCTCCTTTGCCTGACGCGCGCTCTGTGCAGCGGCGCAGAGCGCGCGTCCCTGGCACAGACGGAGCAGCGGCCGCGCCAGCGGTCGCTGCTCCGCCCCCCCGTCGCGCGCGCCGCGCGCGCGCTGCCGCCGCCGCCGCCGCCGCCGCCCCCTCCTCGCCGTCTTCCCCACCCTACCCTCTGTTGCGCGCGCCGCGCAGCCGCGCTGCGCGCCCCCGCCCCCGCCCCCGCCGGCGCTCCCAAGCGCCCCTTCCCCGGTAGGTGTGCGGAGAAAGTAGAACCAATCGAGAGGTGGCAGAAGCCGCCGTGTGTGACACATATTGCGGCACGTGAGAGTGAGACAGAGCCCCGGCAGCGGCCAGCGCGCGCGCGCAGCGGCCAGCGCAACAGGCGTTTCAAACAGCAAACGGGACGGCCTGCGCAGCCTCTAACTATTTCGATGTTTGCCTTCGATGTTAGAGAGATTTTTAGCAATACCAAACAACTCTAACACTCACACGTAATTTGAAACAACGCAAGGCGGACATGGCATATCGCTCTCGGGCTTTATTTTAGCCCCCCGCTACCCAGTCGCAGTCGTGCGACGTAGCGGGGGGCCACGACTACGTTTACGAAAACATAAGTAGTCCCGCGAGGTGTGAATTGGCCGCCCCAGTAGCCCCCTTTCCAGCCGGATACACTTTTCGTGGCAAACCCAAAGTTGATATGGCGCGAAGCCGCTTTTGAAAGCGCGAAACGAATCTCGTCCTACCTCCCACCGGCCCCACCACTTTTCGTCGCCCATGCTCGACTTGAGTGCCGCTGGACTGGCCGATGAAGAGCGACCCGTACGACGCGCACTTGTCGTCCTCCCTCCTCGCCACATGACGGCCGCCCCCCGACACCGACAGTCGCGCTCCGCACGCCTTCGAGGTCAGCTGCGGCCGAGCGACGATCGGCTCGCTCCGATCGCTGGGCGCGGTCACTCTCCGGCCCATCACCCGCCTGCCGATCACCTGTCCGCCTCGCCGCGCGCGGGCCGCTCGCCTGCTCGCCACCGCCGCCGCGCTTCCCCGCGCCGCCACGCTTCCCTGCACCTGACCGCGCTGCGCAGACGGCGCGCTCTGGCAGACAGAGCAGCGGCCGCCCAGGCGGTCGCTGCTCCGCCCCGTCCGAATCCGTCCGCCCGCGCGTGCTGCTGCCGCCGCTGCCGCCGCTCCGGTGCCCGTGTGTCGTGAGAGTAATGCTTTGTGTATGGCACCCGTGTCGCATGTCATGTTATGTGTGTGGACTTGTCGCACTTGAGCCTCTATGATTAGTAAGTAGACCGTCTGCGCAGCGCTCTCGGAGAGGCGCTTTGTACTCGGGTTTGGATGGTAGCGGGGGGCCCCGCCGGAGGCTGGTTACTGATTGCTTGGGGCGGCACGCATGCGACAGACATCGCTCATGAAATCCGCGCCATAAAGCCTGTCAACCGAAAGTGGGCACACCGCGCGCCCGACGGGGACATCCAAGCGCAGGCCCCGCACGCGGCCCTGCTGCCCTCCGTTCTACTCAGAGCGGTGGTTGAGGCCGATTGCCTCAACTGTCAACCACGTGGTTGACAGAGGCCTCAACCCTCAACCAAGTGGTTGACAGACCCCTTCAACCCCTCAACCACGCGGAATGGCTGTTCACACCCCCCGCGCAAAGGTCTGAACACACATTCTCTGTGAACCATTCATGTCGTCTTCTTTAACGCCTGGATGCTGCATCACACCTCCCATTCACGCACGTAGCTGAAGCAAGTATCGTAAAAACGGCGCGTCGAAGGCCCCCGCACGGGGGATCCCGGCCGACGTCATGGTCGTCCGCGGACGCGGCCCTCCGTCTCCGGAGACATTACCGAACTCAAAACTGCTTACCAAAGCCAGATACGAGCTCAGCTCAGTGAGATCTAGCAGCACATACCCTCAGTATCCAGAATAGCAAAGTCTGAAAAAGTCGGTCCGACCGCGCATAGCGGTCTGGCTGTCTGCAGAGCTTCCGTCCGCGAGCCCTGAGAAATGTCGGAGGCATGTCGGCCCATGTTCGCGATTTTGATGGCGTTGCCCTTATTGCACGTGAAACAGACCGCGCCGGCCACGCACCCTTGTTCCCGGAGGCCAACTCGAACAGGTTTGAGCAATGGCCGCCTTCCATGCTCGACACGTCCGCCCGCCATCAAGTTGTACGATGAAAAATGCAGCAGGAACTTAGTTGCCTCGAAGGCCGCCCTGCTCGAAGGCCGCCCTGCTCTCGGCATTGTGTTGTTGACTGATAGCACTGTCTGATCCAACCAGAAAGAGCCGTCGAAGAGCCGTCGAGAGCTACATGAGACCCAAGTCGTCATGATGTACCAGAAAACGAAACTAGCGCCAAAATTGAGATCTCAGGATTGACATTAATTTCTCGCGCCTGCTTTCGCTGCTTGAGGCTCGCCAAACAGATACTGCGTCTATGGCCGTGTGCAACGTCAAGTCGTTATATACATGTAACCGCGACAAGACCATCGCGCCAACCGCGACTCTGTTGCTTTTATGCGGCAGCATTCACCGTGACTCTTGCCGTGAATGGTTAGTGACCGCAATACTACGCCGTGAGCTGAGCTTCACCAGCCGTTTATCTTCCTTCCCTTGCCTTCTCTTGCCGTCCGTTCTCTGTGCGCATTCCACTGCATGCATGCGGCATCACAAGCGTCTTCTGCCGGGCGCGCATCTCAACTCGTACCTGGTAGGCCATCGCTTTGCTGAAGGATCAGGCGCCTGAATGGCGACAGTGAGCGTCTCCTACTTATGGATTGCGCTCAAGGTACGAGGACCGCAAGAGCGCGCCGCAGGCGAAGCGATTTTTTTGGCGGCAGGGCTGTTCCAATCTTGTGATCACGCGCGAGCCTGTGAATACGCCCCGGAGGCCTCAACCCCCAACTAAAGGGTTGACGGGGGGTCTCAACCGTCAACCAGATGGTTGAGGGGGGGCCTCAACCCTCAACCCGTCAACCACCCCTCTGAGCAGACTCCGTCCCGTCCCGTCAGTCCCGTGCCCAGTGTGTGTGTGGTGTGGGGTGAGGGGGGGGGGGAAGTCCGCCCCCCAACAACTCGAGAGCCCTCCGCCCTCGCCACCTCCGCCCTCGCCTCCCCCCCCAAGCCCGCCGCCGCCGTGCCTCCTCCGTATGGTCCTCGCCTCCCTGGTGTGGCGCGCCTCTGCTGTGCACTCCGTCCCAATTAAAATCCGCTCTCAAATCGCTCTCACAGCAGCGGAAGGGTCCCTCGAGCCGGAGGAGCTGGAGGCTCTCTCGGGTGTGTGGAAAGCTGAGCTTCGTCTCGACGACGGGGATCGAACGCTGACGTGGCGGCTCGCCGCCAGCGGGAGAGTGCGTGGCCTCGATGAGAATGAAGAGGGAGTCTGGTGGGCTGATAGCGCTCCGACTGAATCTGCACAGCAGCGCGTGACCGTATCGCTGCGGGTGAGAGATTGGACCATCCTCGCTGTCGGCGAGCGCACGGGCCTGCGGTGCACACAGCTTGGTGGCGCCGTCCTCGAGGGTGCAGAGGACCCGTGCCACGTCGGCGAGTGCGACCTGACCCTCGCGCTCGCCGACATCGGCTCGGATGGCCTCGGGGACCTTGAGGCGTGCTCCCCGCGGCCATTCGTCTCCCCGCTCCCTCCTCCTCCCCCTCCGCCCGTGACGCGTGTGCGTGGGCCAGGCGCGGCTCGAGCGGCGGCGGAGCGCGCGGCCGGCACGACCGGCCACCTTTGCCAAGCGCGCATTTGTCGGCCGGTGGCGAATGCTCATCGACATGGAAGGAGGTGCGTCGGTCCCCGTACTTATCCACGTCCGCCGTTTCCAAGACGCGCGTTCGTGACGCGTCCAGGGCACGCGTCCCGCAGGCGCTCCTCTCTCGTACGCCGTGGTGCTGCGGCCGGGCGGCACCTTCCGGACCGTCGGGGGAGGCGAGGGCGAGGCAGCCGTGCTCGGAGGCCGGTGGGCGGTGTGGGGCCGCGGCATGGCAAAGGGCGTCGCAGAGTGGGGTGTGCGCGCCACCGCCCACAGGAGAGTCGATCGCGTGGTCCCTGCGGCGATACAGCCAGATGCGGCCCAGATGCGGCCTGGCCGTACGGCCCGCCCGCCTCTCCCTCGAGACGGTGTTGGACGCCCCCCCCCCACCCCCCGTGCCGGCAGGCGTGCTCCCCGAGGGGACCCACCTCTGGATGCGGGTCGAGCGCGACGCCTCCACCTCGACGCTCGCAGGCATCGGCGGCCTCGCAGGCGTCCACGAGAGCTTCTCCCTCTGGAGCGAGCCCTCACTCTCATCGCCCGCCTCGGAGCTCGCAGCGCTCGCGGGCGCCTACTCGAGTAGCGCGGGCGAGCGGGGAGCGAGCGTCGCGAGCTGCAGCGGCGCCGCCTACTTTGGCACGGCGAGCAACGAGTACTACAGGGCTGGCCGCTGCTCGATGATCCGCGAGGAGGAGGCAGAGGCGGGGCGGGGGTGACGACCCCAGCCGCAGAGGCGCACGCGCTGTGAGACGCGATTAGCCTACCCCCCACTAGCGCCAACTGCATGCACATGAGGGGGGGGGAGCCCACGAGGAGCCAGCTCCGACGTATGTTCCTCTAGCAATCGGTGTCGCTTGGTTCCCCGTCTCACTAGCTTTTTCTAGAACTTCTTGGAGGAAGAGAGGCTTCTGGTTCTGGCTTCTGCCTTCACAGCAGCTCGTTTCACCGCGTTTTGGTTTTCCTCTCGGATTCTCCCCGCACAGTGTACGGGGCGACTCTCGCTCTCGCGCGTCCGTCCGGCGGGTCCGCTCCCTTCGACCTTCGTCTACGTTCTAGAAGTACTCTTCGTCTAGCACTGGCTCTATTTTAGTCCTCTCTATATTGTAGCCACCTCCGCGAATCCTTTTATCCGATTCCGAATCGGTCGGCATGTGAACACCCATAGTCTGAGGGTATCCTAAAAGTCCGGCCGATTTGGGTCAAAAGAAAAGCACCCCCGGGCGCAGATTTGGGGCAAAACGACAAAAGTGGGCCCGCCCGGGGCAAAATGGTAAAAGTCGCGCCGCAGGCGCGCGCGAAATTTTTGGACATTCTACTCTCCGGCGGCGCCCGCGGCGCTCGCTCCAAATACTCGCTCACTATAGAGGCGTGCCGTGCAGCCGGCGGCGCAGCCACGCCTTGCTGCCCGAGAGGGCCTCGCCACGCTCGCCCAGCTCCTCCTTGAGCTCCACCACCTTCATCGCCACCAGATCCTTTTGGACCTTTCGCATCGCCGCCGCCGCAAAGAGCCCCGGGCTCAGCGGCTCAGCGCCTCAGCCTCGTGCTCAGCAGCGCCCTTATGTGTTACAAACTTGTAGCGCTACCCATGTGTTTGGACACACACCGGTGGGCGCTGTCGAGGCGAGCGGCAGCACATTTTTCTAGGCATAGTGTGCAGGAATTACTTCTGCCGTTTTTGCGGGACGATAGCTAGTACTTCCTAGATGAGCTCCCCCCCCCGCTCTTGCACAGGAGGAAAATGGAAAACTAATCAGATGGAAGCAGGAAGCTTCCATCCCGGCCGTGGTTCGAATCCACACGAGCCGAGGGGTGAAGGGGAGGACGCGTGGTGGCGCTGGCCATGAGAACTGAAGCTCTCACCCATTGTGATGAGGAAGTGAGAACTGCTCGACCCACCCCGGATCCTGCTGACCAAGTTCTTCCTCTTGTAGCTCGATCAGTCACACCGCCATCACCGCCGACGTTTCCCAGTGAGACGATGGAGAGGGGGGACGACACTGCCTCGGCAGCGTGCACCTCGATCCTGTACCGTGTTTTTGTTATGACCCCCCCCCCCAATGAACACACCAGTGAGGGAGGGCGAGACGATCGAGGGGTCCCGTACCACGCGGAATCGACCCTATCCAGTGCTCAAGTGCTCAAGTGCTCAAGTACTTCCGCACCCGGCGCACAGCGCCGAAGAAAAAAAGAAAACTGCTACCGGCTGGTCGCTCCGAGACGACCAAAGTGGTAAAAGTCGCACTCTGTCCCACCCACACCTGACCCGAAGTGGTAAAAGTCGCACTCTGTCCCACTCACACCTGACCCGATCAAAAGCGTAAAAGCACCCGAGGCTCCAGAAACCTAACCCTCAGACTATGCCCTCACCTCCTGGATCCAGCTCAATGATGAGGCTACGGCGCATAATGAAGAGAGAGGAACACATCGAGTGGCTGAGGAAGCTCTTCACTGGGTGGAAAGAGGCTCGGCCGGCCTTGAGGGAGTCGCAGACGGAGGGATAACGCACCGCAGGCAACGCAGGGACGGGCCAACAGCCAGTGGGACGAACGAGGGCCGCGACGGCGGCTCATACAAGCGGGAGGGAGCGGAGACGGTGGGCAGAGAGCGAAGGGGGGGAGACTGATGATGCTCCTTCGACTTAGGGAGCGCGGTTCAGATGCTGGGCGGGCTTCAGGCTGGTGCTCACGCGAAAAGGAATCGACGCGATGTGCAAAGCATACAAGAAGGGGAGAAGGAAGAGGAGAGACGCCGGTGATGACGAAACAGAAACTAGCGCAGACGAGAGCAGGGCAGACCCGGGGACTGGGGAGCCGGAGCAGACGGCATCGGCCGCCGAGGGAACGTTGGGAAGAGGCACGAGGAGGGCGGCGACCTCGACCGACCATGGAGGACCCGTCGCCAGACGACGCAGGGCAGAAGACGGTGAGGCGGAGCAGACGCGCAGGGCGAGACGAGGGAGGGAGCAGGACTTTGCGGAGATCAGCAGGAGGATGTACGAAGAGATTAGGAGCAGCAGGGACCCGAGGGACCAGGTGGAAGACGGCTAGTGCTAGTCCCCCATCGGGAGGACGACCCCGGCTAGAGGGAGCGGACCATGAGTTGAGGAAATCGGAGGACGCGACCCACTTCGCCACAGACGGTCCCGCGCCTCGCCACTATGACGGGTAGACGACCGCGGCTCGTGTGCGTCTACCCGTCTTTGTCCGGAGTGAAAAGTCCAACGCGCTCGTCGGTGGCGGCTTCCTCCAACCTGCGCCGCGCTCGGCGAACCTCGACAGCGCCTTCGATGGCATGCAGCTCTTTGCGTCAGAAGCTTGGAGAGCAGCTCCTCGGCTGCTCACACGCTCTGCACAGTTGACACAGCCTACTGTGCGGCTACCACAGCTGTGACAGCGATGGGCTCGCCCTCACTGGCCCTCAGTCACTTGTGCTGCGGCTTGTGTGAGCGACACTGCTCGGCGACTGCCGGCACACTGTGAGACCATGGGTGTGAGGTAAAACCACGCTACCAGCGCTTGGTCACATCGGCCCCGAGGTCAGATCCTTCTACTCTGTTAGTGACAAGACTTGTCTACTGGCTGGAGCCGAGCAGGAGGGCCAGGCGCACAACCCCTGGTCAACTCACGGTCCACACCCCGTAGTCGCCGACACGGCGACACCACACACCCACAAAGATGAACCCTGCAGAAAGATCGCAAGGGGCGGGGACCTGTTCCTTTTTACTTTTATTTCGCGCGTCGGCTCGTCGCTCGGTCCCGCGCGGCGCGCGCGGGCGCGGTTGTGCGACTGCGAGAATGATGGCGCGGGACACATACACACTCGGACATACACCGCCGCGGGGTCCCCCCACTGCCTTTCCTCTCGATCAGAGACGCCGACTCACCTAGCGACTCACGGCGTCCACGGAGACTCTATCGCGCCACATGCACATATCCCCCCGCCGATCGGCGTCGCCACGTGGGGCCTGATTTGAGAGAACTCCGACGCGTGGGGAGGCTAGGCACGCCCACCTCGCCTCCGCCGCGCCCACCCCTCCTCCCTTCAGCGTCCACACACCTCGCTCAAGTTGACGAGGACGCCCGTCAAGTTGTCGGCCCGCTCCCCAAAGTACTTGAAGCCGGTGGCGCGCGTCGCCTCGCAGAAGCGGGCCGCGCGCTCGCGCATCGCGTCGAGCGACCCCAAACCGGTCGCCGGCACCAGCTGCGCCGCCACCTCGTCGTAGTCCCAGATGTCCCACACGCCATCCGAGGCGAGCAGCAGGGCGGGGTGCGACAGCCGCACCTGCGCCAGCGGGATCGTGCGCACCTCTGGCGCGGCGGTGACGCCGTACTCGTGCGCGTAAAAGTCGCCGAGCGAGCGCGTCATCGTCAGTGCCTGCGGGCGAGGAGGCACGGTCCCGCCAAGTCACCCTCGCCCGTGTGCGGGTGGAGTCTCTCCCCTCCCCCCCCCCCCCTCCCTCTCCCATCTCGCTCCCGTCGCCGGCGCCTGCTCCTCCACCTCGGCAAAACTGCCGGGCTGGTGCGTCAGCTCGTACCGCCCTTCGGGCACCAGCAGCAGCGTGAAACGGTCGTCCCGCGGGTTCTTGACCAGCACTCCGTGCTCGTCCGCCATCCGCAAGTTGGCGGCGTCGGCGCACGCCGCGCCGCTCGCGTCGGTCCCAAAGATGTTGAACTCCTCGTAGTCGGGGCAGTCGTAGACGAAACTGACCGCCTCGCCGCCCGCCGTCGAGCGCACCCGCATGTACTCTTGCAGGTTGGTCGGCGAATGCTCCTCGGCGTACAGCTCGTGCGATGGCTTCCCGGCCGCCGCGGCGACCGCCGCCACCGCGGCCGTTGCCCTCTCCGCCTCCGCCGCCCTCTCCGCCTCCGCCCTCTCCGCCTCCGCCGCTGCGGCTGCCCGAGCTGCTGCCGCCGCGGCGGCGGCCTCCTCCTCCCGCTGTCGCTGCTGCTGCGCCGCGGACGCCGCCTCCCTCGCCCCCCCACTCGCGGCGCCTGCCGGCTCGGCCGCCGGGGCTTGCGCCTGCGCCTGATAGGCGCGCGCTCGGGCGAGGGCGGCTGCGGCTCCGCCGCCGGGTGGCGGCGCGGTGGCGGGCTTGGAGGAGGGGACGACGGTGCCAGTGCGGTGGCCGTAGCGCGAGGCGGCAGCGGCAGGCGCCGCGGACGGCGCGGAGGCCGACTCCGCATTCATGAAAAACTGGCGTGCCTTCGAGGGCGAGGGCGGCGGCGGCGAGCGCGAGGGGGGCGAGGGCGGCGGCGAGAGCGGCTCGCCGCTGCGGCTCTCGGGCGTCGCGAGCGAGATAAGGGAGAGGTCGGACGACGACGGGGAGGGGAGAGGCTCCGCTGGCGCGGGCAGCGCCAGGCCGGACCGAGAGTAGCCGGCGGGCACGCTGATGCCCGGGGTGCCGCCTGCAGGGCCGTGCGCGGACGGCGGCGCAGGCTTCGCCCTCCCTTGCCGCGCCGGCTGGGGGGGCGCGGCGCGGCCGAGGACGACGGCGGAGGAGTCGCCGGCGAAGGCGAGTTTGAGGAGGGTGCCGCGCAGCAGCAGCGCGACGGTGGCGGTGGTGCCTCCGTCGACCGCGTCCCAGCGCGCGTCCCCCCCGTCCTCGTCCGTCATCCACTCGACGAGGAAGTCGGCGCGGTGGCCTGGGCACAGAGGGCGGAGGGCGGGTTTGCTGGAGGTGGGAGGGCGAGAGACGGGAGGCTGCAGGGGTGGGAGGCGAGGCACAAGCGGCGGGGACGGCGCGCGCCTCGCTGCAGATGCAGCAGATCCGGCGCTGCGGCCAGCATGGCGGTGCGGATCTCCTCGTGCGCGTGCGTAAACACCCACTGCAGCGCCGCGTCGGGGCAGAGCTCCACCCAGCGGTGGAGAGCGCAGAGGCGCGAGCGAACCACCCGGCTGGCAACCTCTCCCGCGAGCTTGCCGAACCTGCAGCAGAGAGGCTCCGCGAAGGGTCGGGCGAACCCGCCGCACGCGGAGGCGGGCGGGCTACGAGAGGGTGCGGCGGCGAGAGGAGGGGCGTGTGCCGCGAGGCGGCGCGACGTCGAGGGGGTGGGGCGCACCGGCGGCCGTGGCCGTCAAAGACGCCAAAGATGGCGAGATCCGGCGACGGGCGCGCCGCAAAGGCCGCGTCCTGAGGGCGGCGGGCGGGGAGGTGGGCAATCTCCGTCGGGCGCTCACAGGGTGGCAGGGCGCACGGGCAAGGCACGGGGCGGGGAGGGCACGGGGCGGGGAGGGCGCAACGCGCCTGGTTCTCCTTGCCGCGCCCGCCCTCGCCGCCCTCGTGGGTGAAGACGACCGAGGGGAGCTGGGGCGCGCGCAGGCCGCCGCTTCCGCCTCCCGCGCAACCCCGCACCGCCGCGGCCGCCTCGACCGTCGCCTTGCTCACGCGGGCGAGGGCGGCTCGGGTCGCCGCCGGCAGCGCGCCGCCGCCTCGCCGCCCGTCGAGTAGAGCGGCGGCGGCGGCATAGAGGGCGCCCTCCCAGAAGGAGGAGGCGGGCTTGGACGCGGCGCGCCTCGCCTGCCGGTGCCCGCGCTGCCACGACGCGGTCCTCCGGATGTTGACCAGCGACTTCCGGCTCTCGCGATGGCCCATCGGCTTTGGCGGCGCCGCCATCGCTGCGGCGAGGCGCTCCTCCTCCTCGGCCTGCAGGCGGCGCGCGAGCGCCGCGTCGTCGGCGTCCCGGAGGCCCGCGCCCGCGAGCGCCGCCGGAGACGCGGCCGAACAGCGCGACGGCGGCTGCCACCGCTGCAGCCGTGCGAGGGCGGCCGTCTCGCCGCCGCCGACGGGCTGCAGCGAGTCGTACGGCGCGGGCGGCGCGTCGTCAGCGCCGAGGACGGCCGGCTGCTTGGCCTGCACGCTCCGTCTCGTGGAGAAGGAGAAGGTGCGCCTCGCCAGCCTCCGGGCAGCCCCGAGCGGATCTGCTGCTCCGAGCTTCGACGACTCGGATCGGACGCTCGCCGGCGAGGCGCTGGTGCCGGATCTGCTGCCGCCGTCGCTGGCGCTGTCGCCGGCGAGCGATGCGGTGGTGGGCTTGGCTGGCTTTTGCTTGCGGCCGAGCGAATAGGGGCGCATACCCGTGCGCACCGTGCGCCAAAAGCCGGACACAGAGGGCGGGCGAGACAAGCCGCTTTTCTTTTCCAGTATAGCGTAGACTGACACTGTGTGTGTGTGTGTGTGTGTGTGTGTGTGTGTGTGTGTGTGTGTGCCTCACTCACTCGACTGACACTGAACCTCCCAGAGCTCGTCCCGGTCCGTCACGGCCATCCTCGGCCTCCGGAGGGCCCCCGGCCGCGGCGCGGTGCGGCGGCGTCACAAAATCTCAAATCCGACCACAGAGCACCGGGACGCGGTCGGGCGATCTGAGGCCCAACTAGGCGTATGCATTGCCCATCCAGGGCTATCACCTGGACCTATCAACAGGCGAGCTGCTGCTCCAACCTGTTCACAGCCTTGTTATTGAGAAGAAAATACGTCCTATGGCGCTGTGCGCTGGCCTGTGAGAGGTTCACACTTTCATAGTGGACAGTACTTGCCTCTGCCATCGCCCCTGCCACCTCACGGCGCGGCTGCTGCGTATTCCTATTACCAGGTCGCTCATTCCACGCAAAAGTGTACATATGCGCTTCTTCCCGCGCCTGCTTCTCGGACTGCTGCCGATCGCCGAGACTGCTCGGGTCGGCCTGCACAAGGCAGCCGAAGAGGGCCAGGTCGAGCCGCTCCGCGTCGCGATCCGTGGCAAGTTTAACGAATACGAGGACGCGTGGGTGCGCCCCGACCTGAACAAGCGCAACAAGAAGGGGAATGTCCCACTGCACCTCGCGATCTGTGGTCGCGCGCGGCAGGACCTGACGACGGTCACCGCGCTGCTCGACGCGGGCGCGGACGCCGGCGCAAGAGACGGCGCGGACGAGACGCCTCTGCACGTGGTTGCGAGGCGTTGCGCTGGCGACCAGGCCCGTGGAGACATCTCCAACTCGCGTGCGAGCGGCATAGCCAAGCTCCTGATTGGCCGCGATGGCGTCGACATCAACGCCAGGGGGCTCGGCGCAAGGGGACTGACGCCTTTGCATGTGGCCGCCGAGCGCGGGCATCCCGCGCTCGTCGAGCTGCTGATCAAGGCGTGCGCCACTCTCCCCTGACGCCTCGCCGGCTTCTCGGCTCCATTCTCCCACTCCTCCCTTCTCACCGCGCGCTCTGCGCCGCTTCGCTCCCGAAAGGCCGGCGCTGACTTGAACGCCGCCGACGGCGCGGGGGCGACGCCGCTACACCTCGCGGCGCGAGCGGGCCAGGCAAAGGTGGTGCTCTCTCTTCTGAGGGCGGGCGCCGACCCGAGCAGGACCGACGCCGACGGCAGAACCGCGCGTGACGCAGTGGCGGGGGGGCGCGACAGGCGCCGTGGCGGCGCGGGGACGGCGTCGAGGCTACCACCCTCTCACTCTAGTGTTTTCGCAACCGTAGCTTCTCGAGCGCCATACGCGGGCACCTCGACAACGCGGCAAGCCTCCGCGCCGAGGGAGAGGGAGGCACGCTCAGGGCCGAACTGTGAGGCGCGGCCGGCGCGGCGGAGGAGGAGCTGGACGACGCAAGGGCACCCCGCGCCTCTGTGCACTGGAACTCCACACTGGTTTAGCCCAGGAGGAGAGAGCGCACGAGCGCACCTAGAAGCCGTTTTGTGTGTTTTATTCGGGGCATATATAGCGCACAGGGGTGTAGAGGTTCCCGTGACAGGGGTGTAGAGCGGCTCTAGTAGAGGTGTGCACTGTGCTCCCGCGCCTCCCGCCGCTAAGTCCTAAGCTCGTCGGTCGGGTGAGGGGGGTGTGCGTGCGGCCGTCTTTGTCCGGAGTGAATACTCCAACGCACTCGTCGGTGACGGTGTCCCTCAACCTGTGCGCCGCGCTCGGCGAACCTCGACAGCGCCTTCGGCGGCATGCATCTCTTTGCGCCTGAAGCCTGGAGTCTGGAGAGACAGTGCAGCTCACTCTGCTGCTCACACGCTCTGCACAGATGGCACAGCCTACTGTGCGGCTGCCACAGCTGTGACAGCGATGGGCTCGCCCTCACTGCCCCCCAGTCACTTGTGCTGCGCGGCTTGTGTGTGAGCGACACTGCTCGGCGACTGGGACTGCCGGCACGGACTGTGAGACCCATGGGTGTGAGGTAAAACCACGCTACCAGCGCTTGGTCACATCGGCCCCGAGGTCAGATCCTTCTCCTCTGTTGAGATGGTAACACTTGTCTACTCGCTGGAGCCGAGCAGGAGGGCCCAGCGCACAACCCCTGGTCAACTCACCCTCCACACCCCGTACGCCGTAGCCCCTCTAGCCCCTCTAGGGCCGCGAGGCGTGCAAAACATTCCCAACATAAATGTTGCCCAACAATTTAAACACGACGAAATCGAAAACGTACATGTATTGCGTGTGTCGCGTGTGCCGTGTCGATCGATGGGGCGCAGGCGCGGGCCGCGGGTTGGCCAAAGTACAGGTTTCGATCCGGGCCACCGCAAATTTTGATCAGCAAATTTCGAGGGGCGGCCGCAAATTTTGAGGTAGATTTTGATTGTCAAAATGTGTCCGTCTTGGCACAGGATAGAGCATATAGGCGGCGAACACCCAGGTGCGCAGGGACATCGCGACTCTGCCCGCTCGCTCGACCCTTTTGCCGCGAGAGGGCGCCGGCCGCGTGTAAGAGGTGGCTGGCGCCCTGAGGCGGCAATTGGTGGCGTGGGGAGTGCGGAACGCTACTGGCGGCGTGACAGGGCCTCTCTCGGTTGCGTGTGCCGCCCATCGGCACGCGGGTGCGCAGACATCGCGCGACTCTGCCCGCTCGCTCGACCCTTTTGCCGCGAGAGGGCGCCGGCCGCGTGTAAGGAGGTGGCTGGCGCCCTGAGGCGGCAATTGGTGGCGTGGGGAGTGCGGAGAACGCTACTGGCGGCGTGACAGGGCCTCTCTCGGTTGCGTGTGCCGCCCATCGGCACGCGGGTGCGCAGACATCGCGACTCTGCCCGCTCGCTCGACCCTTTTGCCGCGAGAGGGCGCCGGCCGCGTGTAAGGAGGTGGCTGGCGCCCTGAGGCGGCAATTGGTGGCGTGGGGAGTGCGGAACGCTACTGGCGGCGTGACCGGGCCTCTCTCGGTTGCGTGTGCCGCCCATCGGCACGCGGGTGCGCAGACATCGCGCGACTCTGCCCGCTCGCTCGACCCTTTTGCCGCGAGAGGGCGCCGAGGCGGCAATTGGTGGCGTGGGGAGTGCGGAGAACGCTACTGGCGGCGCGACAGGGCCTCGTTGCGTGTGCCGCCCATCGGCACGCGGGTGCGCAGACATCGCGACTCTGCCCGCTCGCTCGACCCTTTTGCCGCGAGAGGGCGCCGGCCGCGTGTAAGAAGTGGCTGGCGGCCTGGCGCCCTGAGGCGGCATTTGGTGGGGTCAGCGTGCGGTGCTGAGTCTTACTCGTCGGCGCTGGGGCCAGATCCCAGCGCAGAACTCTGCAACGCTGGCATACAAACACAAGAAGACTAACCCTAACCCTAACCCTAACCCTAACCCTAACCCTAACCCTAGGTCAGCGTGTGGGGCTGAGTCTTAGTCGTCGGCGCTGTGGGGCCAGATACCAGCGCAGAACCCTGCAACGCTGGCATATACAGACACAACCAGACTACTACCCTGACCCTGACCCTAACCCTAACCCTAACCCTAACCCTCTATGCTCTAACCCTAATAACCCTAACCTAACCCACCCCCCAACTCCACACCGCAAATTTGAAAGATCTTGATGAAAATCAGGCCCGACTGCAAATTTCTTCAAAATTTTCGCAGGCGCTCCGCGCCTGCAGATTTTGAAATAAATTCGACAAAATTGGTACCTGGCCCAAGCCGCGGGGCGGGGCGTGGCGGCGGGGTGGCGCGACCGGGGCCCACACACTGTCACTGAGTGCCAGACCCACACGGACTCTAGTCTCTACACACGCATCGGCATGCCCTCTTGTACAAAACCACCGCTGTGCGGGCATGCACGACTTGTTTGTGGTACGTGCCCCCACATATGTGATCAGCGGAAAGTAATGCCGCTCGAGAGTAGCTCGCTACAACGGCCTGCACGCATTCCAGGAGACCTCGCCCTATGGCGTCATTCTGCCGCTTGCTGCTCCAGGAGCCAGCGGTTGCCGTCTTTCCATCTGATGCCTTCCCAAGCCTCGCCGTCAGCAGCCCTCGGGTGCCACCTGCCCACATGCACGCCGTCGCCGGCATCCACCTGCGGCACGCAGCGTTGACTCTATGATATAAATCTCGAGTGCTGCCTTCGCTGTTTGCTCGTTTGCGCGCCTGCTCGCCGTCACGCGAGATGCGCGCCTCGAAGCTCCAATCGCGCAGCCCGTACCGGGAGACGCTCTCCGCGTCGCAGGAGGCCCTGACGACATTGCCGACACCTATATTGAGAACATATCTCGCAGCGAGCCACGGAGAGGACAGCGAGAGGCAGCGCCACCCGCTCCCACAGGCGTCCAAGAGGGGTGGCGCGTGTGCTCGCAAACAACAACATATCACGGGATGAGGGCTTGAGGCTCATGCAGGGCGCGGCGCACCCCTTCATGTGCTTATCACAGTAGCCCCGGGACGGGGGGGGGGGGGGGGGGTGGCGGGCCTCACCCGGTGGGCCGATGTCGTTGCCGGAGAAGGTGGCGAGGAAATAGTCGCCACCGCCGCTCTGCTTGAGGGCGCTGGTGTCCACGGCGATTTTTCGATCACAGAGAGGGTGAAGGAGGTCGGAGTACTCGCCCTCAAAACGCGTCGCCCTGAATCGGCCAGGCCCCAGTGCTGGCCGCAGTCCGGCGGCGAACGCGTCTCTGTTGGGCACAGCTAGCAAGGCGAGGGCGTTGGCTGCCAAGCAGCGCCTGCTCATGGCGTCGGCCTTCATTCTACGACGACACGAGGGACAATTTGCTGCCGCTGGCCGTAAAAGAATTTTACAACGTCGCTCCCTCGCCCCACTGGGCACGGGACTGGCGCGCACTGGCACTAACACAGGTACACCACGGGAGCCGCCTAAGCGACTTCTGCGAGGGTGGCGAGGCACTTAGCTCCGTGCACCCGCCCACCCCCGCCACAGGCAAGCTCATTCACGACCTGCAAAATCTCTCTCTCGACCTGCTCTGCGATGGCGAAACAAACTGTTAGGGAGGGTGGTACCTTTGGTGAAACTGAAACGCGGAACGCGATCTGTCTCGCGTTCCTCAACGCTTGCGATTCAGCTGTCGCGCCGCTGGATGATCTTGCTCAGCTCGCCGAGCTCGACCTGAACGCTCAGCGGCGCGACCGCTGAATCGCAGCCGTTCGTGCTGCACGCATGCATCGTTGCAGTTTCAGATTACTTCCCCCCCTCCCTAGGGACGCCCAAGGGTGAATTTCGGTTGGCACCACACTCCTCTCCTTCAAAATGGCGGCGTGCCTTCCTCCCATCCCTCCCCTTGTGTTGTTTCTTTCTATGTCTTACGTGACTCATGAATCCGTATTCTGACTCATCTAAATAAAACCAATGGAGCAACGTGGGGCTGGGGGGTGTCGCGTGTATGTCGAGTGCTTGTGCAGTATGGCCCCTATGCGCTGCCAGTCTCGTTTATTATGGTTTAAGAAACAAGACAAAAAAACTCGTTTCAAAAGAAAACCCCGATTGCGAGCCAACGCGTTCTCAGACGCGTGTACACGCATCCGAGCCCGCGCCGAGCGCGCACATGCCATCCTGGTAGTGAGCACAGGACCGTGGCTCTCCCACGTCATGGATACAGTCACGCTACCTATCTATCGTCCGTTGCGTTTCCCGATTGCGAGCCAACGCGTTCTCAGACGCGTGTAACACGCATCCGAGCCCGCGCCGAGCGCGCACATGCCATCCTGGTAATGAGCACAGGACCGTGGCTTCCCACGTCATGGATACAGTCAGATTAGCGATTCATTCCCGTTGCAGTCTCCGATTTGCGGTTGCGCCGTCGACCCTGGGGGTCGTACATGGAGCTCCATACCACTTAGCGACACGGTCCGCGTCGGCCTATCGATCGGCCTCGAGGGTAACGGGGCCGCGCATCGATCGGCCCCCTCGAGACAGCCGCGCAAGGGCCCAACTCTCACGCGCACGCGTAGTAGTCCGGCTCCCGGTCCGGCACGGGGACGGAGGAGAAGAGCAGGTCGCGGGTCGCCCCGCCGAGCACGTACACGGCCGCCTCGTAGCCCAGCGACTCATAGTACTGGCCGATACACTCGCCGCCGCCGCAGCCCGCGCGGTCGTGCTTTCCGGCGCAGCAAAGCCCCGTGAAGGTTCCGTCGTCCTTTGCCTTGACGGTGGCACCCTTGTTGGAGGTCTGGTTTTGGAAGCACCTGTGAAGGGGGAGAGAAGGGGGAGACCGCGGGTGGATCGCTCGTGGCGCCGCGCGCGTGTGTGTCGCTGTGGCCGTTCGCACGTTGGGTCGAGGAGCTTGTTGCCCCAGAAGGTGAAATTGCCGTCCGAGTTTTCGGTGAAATTGAGGATGGTCATCATGCCCCAGTCCTGGATCGGGGAGGGGGGGAGTCTCAAGACGCCGGCAGGCGGGCTCACCCAGCACCTGGAGACTGGGCGTGGCTGCCTCGTGGTCGAGTACGTGGCAGTGAACGACCTGCCGCGAGACAAATGTGTCCACCTGCAAGCAAGCGCGGACCAAGCTGAGGTCATGGCCACGGTATGCTCGGCAGGCGACCAGTATTGGTGAGAGAGGCACACATTGGCGCGGACGACGAACGTAAGGTTGTTGGCGTTATTCTTGTCGTTGTTCAGGGAATGCTCGTTATATTTCTCGTCGGGAAAGGCCTTGCTGTGGCACCAATTTGGCGGCACCTGGCAATATTGTAATAAGGGGTCGGTTTTGATCAGGGGGCGAGACGGGGCCCTGACCGTGCTGCCTGGAGCGTGTCGTGCCAGTCGCCAGCCTGAAAGTACGGCTCACCGAGGAAGTTCGAGAGGTTGTAATGCTCGCGCATCGTCTTGAACTCGTCATACCCCGTCTGGAGCTGGAATGGGATGACGTGCCTGCGCATGAGCGGGTGGCCGCGTCATCTGACACGTGTCTCAGGAACGTCTTTCTGGCAGTGCGCACCAGTGGAACGCGTGATCGAAGACGCCTTTGATGTTGAACTGAGAGAGGCTTCCAACCTATAAAGGGGGGGGGGGGGTTGGTGGCGGGTGCGTCGTTGGGGCGGTTCGAATGGGTGCGGGGGTGAAAGCCTGCTCGCTGAACATCGGATGTTCGTGAGAGAGAGCGTGCTCGTCGTACCGCTTCTTGTTGATGGTGAAAGGAGAAAATGCGCTGCCATCGGAAAAGAATTTGCCATCGGCAGAGTCAGGACCGGGCCCAAAGTGGAGCTCGAGGTTGCCGTCTTGCGTCAGGTCCTACAACGTCGAAGACCACGAGGGAGCAGTCAACGGGGCGGGAGTTATATCGATTCGGGAAGGACGGGAGGAAGCCGCCTCTTCGTTGATCAGCTTGGTGGCGTTTTGCAGGTTCGCGAGGTCTACAGTTGGACACGGCAGCGGTGTTTGTTGCGGGCGGGGCGGGGCGGGGGGGGGCGGGCGGGGGCGGGCGGGGGCGAGGGCGGGGGCGCGCACAGCACGGGCGGGTCACTGTAAACTTCGGGAGCGTGCACGTGGGCGCTGGAACCCCTTGGACGATTTCCATGTACATGAGCGGGATCGTAATCCTGCCCTGCGCCTTTGCGAGGAGCGTCTCTCGGACCACCGAGGCGTCCGATTTGTTCGCCTGAGTAATCAAAATTCCGATTCAGTCTCACAACCGGACCGCGCGTCTCCCGGGATCGCGTGAGCGCACGTGTGGGATGGCGTCGGCGGCATTGCACACGACATTGGTGACCTTGTTGTGCTTGACATCCTCGTCGTTTTGGTTGTAAAGGAGCCCGTCGAGAAGAGTCGGATTCGGGTACTTGTTCGGGTCAGGCTCAGTGCACCTGCGGCAAGTTGGGACGCTGAGAGCGAGGCGGGGAGGGCACCAACATGCGCGGTCGGTCGGCGAACTTGATGAGGAGATCCGCACGGTTGCCGAGCCCAAGGAAGGCGTACTTGACCGGTCGTGGCCTGAGCAAGAGGCGGAAGCAAAAGTGTTAGATCTCAGACCCAGCGCCACTCTGGCTTGCGTGGTTAGGGCGAGTGCTAATTGTGTCGATTGGCAGAATGTAGAGCACGCACGCGTCGTGCAGGTAGACGCCATCCTTTGCGAGGAGTTGCGCCTCGCAGAATTCCGGGAAGACGATGTACATCTGGTCTGTAATCTGCGCAGCAGAAATCGGGCGCTGGTCAACGCAGGGGTTATGCTAGAATCGGAACACGGAAGGTCTCTCGCAGTGCACCGATGCGAACAGGATCCGCAGCCGCGTCCAGACGTTCGCCTTGAACTTGAGAGTGGGCACGTACTCGCCGTTCACGAGGAAGAGAGCTTCGTCTGCCGCGATCACTGCGTTCGACTTGTCCGTGTGATCCGGCAGTTTGCCGTCGACGTGCCAGATTGCGGCGGCCTCGCAGTTCTTCTTCACCAACTCTGCGACCTGTCGGGTCCGGAAGGGGGAGGGGGGGGGCGCTCGGGCACTCCGCGTCGGGCGCTACTTTACAAGACCGCGGCCCGGTGCAATAACAACCTCCTCGTTCGAGCAGCTTGCCCCGTTGTTCTTCTCCTTGCACCTACGTCATCAAGGTTCATCGTCTCCTAGAAAGGTCCGAGTGCTTTGTCGTCGTGTGTGTGCACCTGTCGTCGAGATCGTTGAGGTGGGCCTCGCGGTTCCGCATTCCCCGCTCTTCAAGCAACTCCTCATTCTCGGCCGTGAAGTTGGAAGCCGGGGCACTGCATGCTCCTCCTTTATCCTCCGGTAACCAACGTTTTTCAAACTCTTCCTTGCTCATGCTTTTGTTCCCGTATGCCTGCGCAGCGCCAACGGGCTAACGTCATGGCGCAACTGGCGTGGCACATGGAGGTTGAAGGGGGAGGGGGTGCGGCACCAGGCAGCACTGCAGCATTCCGCTACCTTCCCCCCCCACTGACGTTTGGCCTCCCCGTTCGATTCCTTTCTGATTGTTTGCGTCGACGCCGAGGATGATGAGATGCTTCTCCTCCTTGAGGCTCTCGACGTACTTGGGCAGGGTCCCGTGCTGACCCACGACGTCCTGCGGCGCAGCCAGGGCCCGGAGGTGGTTCACTACGCACGCCTCCCGTCTCTGTGCACTATACGCGCCTCCCACCGTCCCGTGCTCTACTTGCTCCCGTCTCTGTGCTCTACTTGCTCCCCCCCCCCCCCCCCCTGGCTCACCTCGACGATCAGCATCCCGACGGCACCGCCGCCCGCCTGGATGCCCGTCGGCCCGTGGAAGTGCGGGTGGTACCAATGGGTTCCCGGCATGTGGTCCTTCGGGATCGCGTACGTGTACGTGTGGTTGTCGCCCGGTGCGACGCGGCGAAAGACGTTGTCCGCCGGGTCCTCACCGCTGATGTGCAAGCCGTGCGTGTGCAGGTTGGTCGCTTGGTAGTCGTGCTGGAAGTTTGTGAGCCCCGCCATTTGCGCGTCCGGGTCGTCCTCTTCCGCCAGGTTGTTGATGAGCGTGACCTGCGCACACGGGCGACTCCGGATGTTGATAGTACAGCGGGCAGCCAAAAAAAAATTTTTTTCTCTTTTTTTTTTTGGGGGGGGGGGGGGGGGGCGTCACCTTGAGGGTGTCGCCGGGCCTGACTTTGATCGTCGGTCCCATCGGCGTGTTCTTGTTGTAGCCGCGGGTGGTCACATTGATCACGCCCGAGTTGTCCTTGAGCGTGTGGTGGGGCGTTTCCTTGAGCGGGACATGCATTTCGACCCTGCCCATCGTGAGCTGGCAGGTGACGTCCGTGCAGTTGTCCTCCCTCTCGCGGGAGCCGCAGTAGCGGCAAAAGGACTGAATGGAGCCTGTTGGGGGTGCCGGTTCGAGGATGGACCCGAACATGGTGCTTCGCGCGGTGGTGGCCTCCGTCGGGAGTGCGATCGCGCCCAGCCCGAGCATCACAAAGACGCCGAACATGGCCAAGAACGTCGTTGGAAGATGTAGGCTTTGAGCTCTCGGGCGGCCTGCGTGGCAGGGTGGAGGGTGGCGCCGTGAGCGGCCTCTCCGTCGTATCCGCAGGGCGGTGATACGTTGAGCATGGCAAGACACGTGATAGGGCGGGGTCTGAGGGGGGGGGGGTGGTGGCAAAGTCTGAAGGCAAAAGTTGAGTACAGAACAGCTGCGGCGGCTGGCGAGGGCGGCGGCGAGGCGGCGGCGAGGGCGGCGGCGGTGCAAATGGCGACAGCGAGCACGGTTGGTGTAGGGTCGCGCGATAGCGAGGGCGGCGGCGGCGAGGGCAACGGCGGTGAGAGGCAGCGCGGCGGCGGTGAGAGGCAGCGCGGCGGCGGCGGCGAGGCTGGCGGAGGGCTGGTGATAGTGAGGGTGGAGTGGCGGCGGCGGCGGCGGCGGCAAGGGCCGGCGGAGGCGGGGGGCGAGGCGGCGAACGAGCGGGACAAGGGTCGGATGGGCAGCAGCGACGCGTCTCGCGGCTTCTTGATGGCAACGGCGCACCTGCGAGCGGGAGGGTGCAGCCAGCTAGGGGGGCGCAGCCACTCGGGCGGCGAGCGATGGCGCGTCGTATGGCGGGAGCGGTGGGGGCGCTGCGGGTTCCGCGAGCAGCAGGCGTCGCGGGGATCAAGGCGTGCAGCTTGCGACGGCCATCGGACGTGCGAAGCGGCGGGGCCAGCGCGAGGGACTCTCAAGACCTCAAGAGCAAATGTTGGCAAGCCTCGAGCAAAGACTGGGAGCGAAAGACTGGGAAGCTGATTGGACTCCGCTGACGAGCGCTCGCGGAACTGGTCCGCGGCGCCCGCCAGGGGCGTGCGCGAGACAGGGCTCGAAGCCCTTTTCTGTGAGCAGGGATTCCCTCCCGGCGGGGGTTGTGGCGGAGAGCCGGCATGGGAATCGCCGGCCCCCACCCAGGGGGTGCCCCTGTCAGGCGCCGCAAGCGGCGCCCGACAGGGGCGGGTGCCCCCACCCCGAGGGGTGGGGGCGGGGTCGGGGTCCAAAGTGATCCGGCCCATCGCCTCGGCAAGGTCCTCGGTGCGATTCTCCACGGTGTCGTCGAGCGAAAGCGCGGTAGCCGCGGAGGTAATGACGTCGACATCGGTGGAATCGGCTGGGTCAACGTCAATGTCGATAGCTCTTTCACGCCGGATCCCCTTGTTGTCTCCGATGTGTCGCGCCTGCGCGCTCGGCGTGTATGAAATCCATATCACCCCCTGCTCCACGATGGGGGCTTTAGGCGACGAGGGCGGGGCGCTAGGCGGCGGTTCGTTTTCGGGGGAGTCGGGTGGGTCATCGGCGTAGCTAGAGGCCCCATCACCGATGTCGTCGAGTGGGATGGTTGTACCTCCTCCGTTAATACCCACGTCGTCGCCCACGGTGCTGCTCTCCCCGTCGTCTGCGTCTGTTGGGACAGACTCGTCTTGCCACTCCGGCGCGCCGCAATCCCTCGCGCCGCTCCTGACGTGGTCCGCTTTCTTATCGACGTAGTCGTTCCACTACACCCAATCTGCACTCCACTAGTATGTCCATCAAGCAACCATTCACCGACCGCCGCCTTGTGCCGCCGCCTCACAGCCGACTCGCACCGCCGCCCGGCCATTCCTAGCGCCGTGGACGCGCGAGAGACGGCAGTGCTTCACTGATCCCTGCCGCCTCGCTCTTGTTCATTCCCTCCCTTTCCCATGTTCAGGTTCTCGATGACGCTTTACATTCGCTGGTTTGCTTTGGCGGCCCTTGTGGCCGGGACGGTGTGCGCCCTCACGCACGCGCCTACTGCGGCCTTCTCTCATTTTGCGAGTCTCCCACTGCGCAGGCCGGCGACAAAATCCAGACCACCCCGAACGAGCGCGACACCCTGTTCGCGCCAACAGCTCCATCGCCGGGACCCGCTCCCCTGCTAGACAGAGTGCTGCTCGTTGGTCTTTACAAGGACCGGGGTTCGTCCATCAAGTCCTACGCGCTCTCGGATGACGGCTCGCTCACCTCGATTGGCGACTCGAACGCCGGAGGCAATCCTTCTTGGATCGCAGCGGCTGGGCCTCGCGGCGAGGGCACCCTCACAAGCTTGCTGACGGTGAGTGAGACGGGGAACACGGTGGCCTCGCTCAGCCTCGGCTGCGACGGCAAGGTCACGGAGACGAGCCGCGTCAGCAGCCAAGGCGCCGGTCCCGTGCACCTCGCAACGGACTCCCTGGGCGAGCACGCCTTCGTGGCCAACTACGGCGGCGGCACCGTGGCGGTCTTCCCGGTCACCCAGGGCGGCGACAGCGCGGTCAGCCTGGGCGAGGCCACGCAGACCGTGGACTTCGGCGCCTCCGCGCACGCCCACTCCACCTACCTCTCGGGCGGCGGCGTCTACGTGCCGACGCTCGGCCTGGACCAGGTGCAGCAGCTGACCTTTGAGGGCGGCAAGCTGTCCAAGGCCCACGAGCCGCTGTCGGTGCCTCAGGACCAGGGCCCGCGCCACTTGGCCTTCCACCCGACGTTGCCCCTCGCCGTCCTCGCCAACGAGGGAAACGGGACCACCCAGCCAACGATCGAGCTGCTCGGCGTGGACGCCGCCCAAGGGCTCAGCACCATCGCCACTTACGAAGCCTCCGGGCCCTACAGTCCGCCAGATCTCTACCCTGCCGAGGTGCTGTTCTCGCCGGGCGGCAGCTTCGTGCTCGTGTCCGTGCGGGACGCCAGCACGCAGAAGCGCGACGGCATCGCCGTCTTCCAGGTCGGCGCCGAGAGCCTCACCTTCAAGGACTACACGGCAGTGGGTCATTACCCCCGGAGCATGACCCTGACAAAGACTGGGTCTCAGGCTGGCCTCTTGATTGTTGGCAACCAGAAGGACAACAGCCTGACGCTCTTGAACTTTGATCTCGCCTCAGGCGCCTTGCACAAGGCCGCCGAGGACCTCCCTCTCGGCGATAGCCCCGCCTTTGTTGGCATCTTCGAGACAGCCAAGGGCTGTGCGGCGCAAGCGACGTTGGTGTAGGTCGACGGAAAGCCTCAGGCATTTGTCGGCGGCATGGACGGCGGCGCAAGCGGCCCGGCCGAGCGGGAGAAAGAGAAACTGTGTTTAATTGTTTTTATTCAGCCGAAAGGCAATTTAATATTAATTGTCGCGACAGTTGAGTTCTCCACCCGCAAAAAGTAGTACGTGGCTGGGTTCACAGCGATTGTAGGAAAATGACGGGAACACTTGACGGTCGCGGCCTTCCGACTCGCGCCTCCGCCTCACTGGCACTATTGTAGCCCTGGCCGGTGCGCGTGCTCAGTTGAAGTTCCGGAGTGAAAATTCGAACGCGTTCTCTCACGGTGACCAAGAAATGTCCACCTCAGAGGCACCTCCGGAGGCAGGCCGCCGCACGCCGGCGACACAGCTCCAGCTGTCGAACTGACCCTCAGCTCCTCTCAGAGCGGGAACTGTGACGAAAGTTGACTGAGGCGGTTGTCAGGAACCATCATACGGATCACATGGTGGCTCTCTCATGACGGGAGACCGCCCGACCACTCCTGGGTGGCACTGCCACCGGTGTCGCTCGACGTCCTGTCGACAGCGTGCCGACAGCGACACAGACCATGTGGGACGCGTCGAGTATTGACCTCTACTGCTTACCCAGCCTTCGAGTGTATCCTGGCTGTGGCCCCACACCCACTGGTGTCCATCTCAGAGACCGCAGGAGGTCATGAGGGTCGATGGGAGTGCCAACCCCACAATGCCTAAAAACCCAGCCCAGTACGCACGCGCGTTGGCGTTCATCGGCGATTCTGTGGAACCGACAAACAATCACAACACGTAAAATAATAATATGCATGGATGCACTGGTTGCGAGCGGCTTTACATTGAGCAGACCCGTGTCTTTCTCGCTGTGGGTCCACCTCCACCTGGCGCAGCTCATCACGACACGCAATAAAACACGCACATGACTCAATGAGGATTGACTGCGGAGTGGGGACACTGGCGGGACGTACTCTACACGAGCCGTTGGCGCGACATTGCGAGGCTTCGTAAATAAATAAACCTGCAAAAGTCCAGAGACCAGACTATAGTCGAGCGCGTCGGAGAGGTGTTTCGACACCGAGTGTTTTGAACGTTTCTTCGCAGAAGAAACGTCGAGAGAAAAATCTCTCGCCGCCGCAGGCGAAGAAAATTTGGGCGGAGCGCCGTATCGATCACGGTGGGAGCCTCTTGGCCCCAGGCCGTGCCACGGCCGACTTAGCCGATGTAAGAGGCTCCCGCTGACCTTAGACCGCGCAAGCACCCCAGCGTGCCTAGGCACACTTAGACCCGCTAGGCGTCGAGGCTCAGAACTTAGACTACTACCCAACCAGTTCGCCGGCCGGCGAGATTGCTAGAGGTGGAGCAAGCCTGCTCTAGCCTCGCATGTTACTTCCTGTCGTCTGTTGTGTTGTTGTGCCCTTGTTTGTGTCCTTTGGCACCTTGGAGTGCTGGGGGGGGCGACAGGGAGGACGTGGCCTTGAGTTATGTGTACGCCAACTCAGGGTGTGTGGCAGCCAGCTGGCTGTGTGTCTTGTGAGCCTGTTTGTGTCTGTGTGTCGCTCGTGCGTGTCGTCATCATCTGTCCAGCGTCCACGCATACCGCGTTGGTGCCCAGTCCGAGCCTGACTGTTCTTCACCTTTCTACCTACCTACCTCAAACCTCTCACACAGCACGCTGTGGCACGACACAAGGGCGCGGACTGGCGCGGACTGGCACACACACCGCGCCGGCACATCCTAAAAAGAAGTTTACAAGAAAGCTCCCTCGCACGACTGGGCACGGGACTGGCGCGCACTGGCACTAACACAGGAGTTTACAAGAAAACTCCCTCGCACGACTGGGCACGGGACTGGCGCGTACTGGAAAGAAAAGGCGCTGATTGCTGCTCCAAGGCTAGGGCTATCTAGCCCGTAACCCGATCCCAATCATCTGGCCCGCTGGTGCGCTTCTTAGCCTAAGTCTTAGCTCCCCGGCCCTGGATGAAGGTGTGTGGATGTGCGGCTGCTATATAACACTGCACACGCTCCAAGTGCTCCATCAAAGGCGCAAAGGGTACCTCGCGCCTGTACCCCGCGAAGTCCGATCGTGGATGGACCAGCCTGGGGGGCAACGGCAGATATCCCGTAGAACGTACACAACCGGTCTCAAACGTACAAACAAGAGGAGGACGCGACGATTGTGATATTTGTGTGTCTGTGCGCATGAACTGCCCGGCGCGACGATGGTGTACACATCGCTGCCTCGCGAGGCCGGCCGCAGCCCACGTCGCACGTTGCTCGATCAGAAGCCGTGTGCCGCTGCTGCGCCAGCGAGTGAGCCGTACCGGGCTCCTCTCAAGGCTCTCCCGGGGCGAGCGCCTCGACCAAGGTAGGCCGTGCGGGAAGGGGCTGCTCGCCCCGACTCCCTATGCCAGGAGGCTGCGCCACATGCTAGTAGGATGGTAGCCGGAGCCACCGAATGCGCGGCCCGCCGCTCTCTCAGAGGTAGGAGACGGAGCCGGGAGAGAGGAAGGGGTTGCTGCTCACCGCAAAGCCAGGCGGAGAGAAGGTTTCCGCCTGCAGGTACGCGCACCGAGTTGGGGTGCGGGCGGTGGACGGCGTGTGGTGGGTGGGGGGGGGGGGGGGGGTCGGCTCGCCGGCTTGGAGAAGCCCGGCATCATGGAGAAGCCCGGGGGATTGTCGGTGGAGAGCTCCATGTCCAGGAGGTTCTCCTGAGGGGGGGGGGGGGGGGGGAACCTTTTTTTCCCCGGGTCCCCCCAAAAAATTTTTCTTAAAGGTCCCCCGGGGCCCACGGGGGATAAGCTCCCGGGGAAAAAGGCCCCCAAAAAAGGTGGTCGAAGCCCCCCTTGAAAATCCGGCGCGGGCGGGGTGGGCGCAAGGGGTCGGCCGCTGCGCGATGGGGCTACTCGGCGGGCGGCGGGTGGCACGGCCGCCTCCTCGGCGCTGAAGGGGGAGGCGGCGAGGAACGGATTCGCGCCGGACGGCTCCGGCGACGCCATCTCGGCCTGCACGTCCCCGGCCGAGAGGCGGTAGGACCCCTGGGCGGCCGCCTTTGGGCGCGGCGAGAAGCCGTGCGTGGGGCCGCCGGCGCCGTGCATCGATGCCTCGTGCGAGCTGGACTGCGGCGAGGAGGGCTCCTCCCAGCTGCCGCCGCGGATGCGGAGGACGAGGACAGTGCAGCTCCTGTGAGCGCCGTGGCGGGGGAGGGTGAGAGCTGGCCCATAGAGGGCGGGGCGGGAGGGCTGGGGAAGGGTGGGGCAGGGGTTCGCGTCTCCCTGCGAGAAGGTCGACGCAGCGCTGCTCGAAGGGGCGGTGCTCCCAGGTGTCGAAGTAGGTGCCCCGGCCGGCCGGCGCGTCGTACGCTCGCACGGTGACGCCGAGCAAGTCGTCCTCGCGCACCCACTGCCGCACGTGGCCCTGCTCGTTGTAGGCTTGCAAAAAGGGCTGGATGAGGGAGGCGCGCACCTGCGGGGGCACGTGCGGGGCGGTGGACATTGCTGCAGATGCCGTGCGCAGGTGCCGTGCAATGGGGCCGCACGGAGGCGCCGGGGGCGGGGGGCCGCTGGGGAGAGGGGGCGCGGCGGGGCGCGCCGTCTTCTTGAGCCATCCGGGGCCAACCTTTGCGGCGAGGGGCTCCCCCTCGGGTCCGTGGATGAGGAAGACGGCGCCCTTGCGCGACGAGATCAGGCTCTTTGCCGCAGCCTCACGCGCAGAGCGCATCACTTGGAGCTCCTCCTCGGAGCGGAGGGTCACGGTGACCCGGAACTTGTCCCCTTCGACGAGCGTGCCGCCCTCGATCTCCGCCTTTGCCTTGAGCAACTTGCGCACCGACAGCCGATAGATTGCCCACGCGTGCAGCTGCTCGTCATCCACGCCGACGCCAACCACGTGGCAGATCTTGAAGCGGCACGCGTTGCGGTCCTGCTTGCCTACGGCGAGGCGGCGAGTGCACGGCGTCGCGTCCCGCGCCCAATGCGCCGTGGCAGCCGCGGGGTGCAGGCTCACCAAGCTCCGAGAGGAGAGGGCCGATCAGCGCCTTTGAGAGGGGCTTGGCGAGCATCGTCTTGGTGAGCGTGGTGGCGTAGGCCCTCTCCTCGCCTCCCTGCTGCTCGCGCACCACCACCTCAAAGTCGACGGAGCCACCCACCAGGGCGTCGCCATCGTGCGAGATGCTGCTCGACGACAGCTTTTTGGCGAGGCCGCCGATCCCGCCCTTTGCCAGGACATTGGAGGGCAAGGATGGCATGGAGGGCGACTTCATCCCTTTGAAAGACGGCATCGAAGGCATCGAAGGCATGGAGAGCGACTTCATCGAGAGTGAAGACTCGCCTCGGCCGGGGGGGGGTGAGAGCCGTCGGGGCTGACGCAGTTGGGCTCACTTGGTGCCACTCCGGGTACCCCTTTAAGGTGGGGGTTCGGGTTCTGTGAAGAGGGTCGCTCGTCCAATGCGAGCCAGTTCGCTCGCGACGCCGCCGCCGCCGCCGCCGCCGGAACGACCGCGGCGGCCGGTCGAGCGGCCGCCCCGGCCAGCGGCCGTATCGAGCCTGCCCGCCGTCGCGAAGGTGTGGACCTCTCGCGCGCCACCGGCCGCGCGCGCCGGCGCGCCCTCGTCTCTCTCTCTAGCCCAGCGCCACGCCGCTATGTCTCTACACACACACACACACACACACACACACACACACACACACACACACACACACACACACACACACACACACACACACACACACACACACACACACACACACACACACACACACACACACACACACACACACACACACACACACACACACACACACACACACACACACACACACACACCCCACACACACACACACACACACACACACACACACACACACACACAAGATCAGCCAGTCACTTGATGACACCATGAAGTACAGCGATCGCAATCTCACTGGCCTCTCCGCAGGCCCCCCCGACCGCGTCGAACTCATCGGCGCGGCTCTCTCGGCTACGGGACCGGCCCCAGCTTCGGCTGAGGGCTAACAAGCTGCCGAGCCCAAATCACTGTGAGAGTCGTGATTTCTTGTTGGTTAATAAAAATCTCTCACACACACACACACACACACACACACACACACACACACACACACACACACACACACACACACACACCATCGCGACGACTCCCGTGCTCGCTCCTGGCGCAGGCGATCGACTCCTGACACCCATCGAGCGGATGGGCGCGTTCCCGCCGCGACCCGGTACTCTCGACCGACTTTTGAGACGGCCGCGACGGGCGAGCGATGTCGAGGGGGCTGTGGCAGTGAGAGAGGGCGCGCAGGAGGAGCTCCGTGGGGAGGTCGAGGAGGCGAGTGGGCGGCGGCGTGTCTGGCGAGGGCGCGGCGGTGGCGGCGGGGGCGAGGCGGCGCGAGCGGCGGCGGCGAGAGGACCGAGGTGGACATATGCACACATGATACATGCACATGCACATGCACATGCACATGCACATGCACATGCACATGCACATGCACATGCACATGACATGTACATGTACATGTTGTGCATGACATGACCCATGTAGGGTTGCCTAACGTTAACTTTGGGCCTAACAGTTGCGCTAGTGTTGGCTGAAATCCTCAACGTTGTTCAAGTGTTCACCCCAGCCCATGCTGTTACTGTTTGTTACTGTTGTTACTGTTGTTCAGCGGCCAGCAAGCAGAAAATGGCAAAAACCCCGGGTAAAACCCGAAAATACCTGGGATTTTCCGGGTATTTTCGGGTATTACCCGCACTGGACACTAGAGATCGTCGTGGGTCACTGCCAGGCCTTCCTTACTGTTGTTCAGTCGGCCTAACGTTAGCTACTGTTGTTGGGGGGCCCCACTGTTGTTCTGTTGTTACTGTTAACACTAGCAACACTGTTCAGCTCTTAACGTTAGGCAACCCTAGACCCACATGTGCATGCATATCGCGGTCAAAAGAATTCGTCGAATCCCGTTACGGGGTGTGGAGGGTGAGTTGAACAGGGGTTGTGCGCCAAGCCCTCCTGCTCGGCTCCAGCCGGTAGACAAGTCTTGTCATCAACAGAGTAGATGGATCTGACCTCGGGGCCGATGTGACCAAGCGCTGGTAGCGTGGTTTGACCTCTCACCCATGGTCTCACAGTGTGCCGGCAGTCGCCGAGCAGTGTCGCTCACACAAGCCGCAGCACAAGTGACTGAGGGCCAGTGAGGGCGAGCCCATCGCTGTCACAGCTGTGACAGCCGCACAGTAGGCTGTGTCAGCTGTGCAGAGTGTGTGAGCAGCAGAGGAGCTGCTCTCCAGGCTTCTGTCGCAAAGAGCTGCATGCCACCGAAAGCGCTGTCGAGGTTCGCCGAGCGCGGCGCAGGTTGGAGGAAGCCGTCACCGACGAGCGCGTTGGACTTTTCACTCCGGACAAAGACGGGTACACGCACACAAGCCGCGGTCGTGTACCCGTCTTAGCGGCGAGGCGCGGGACCGTCTGTGGCGAAGTGGGTCGCGTCCTCCGATTTTGTTGAACCCAGCATCCACACCCTTTATGGCCGTGCGACCACCGCAACCCCAGGGCGCGGTTACCGCCGAGAAAAGTCGACTGCACTACTCCAAGACCAAGTGCTCCAACCTCCAAGGGGTTTTCTGTACTCGAGTCCCACGGAAACACATCTCCCGACAAAAGTCAAAACGATGCTGTCACGCAAACGCGGCCACGCTCGGTCGCGTCCGGTGGGGGCGGCGCTTCCGCAGTCGCGTCAGCGGACTCCGCCACGCCTCCAGCTTCGCCTCGACCCACCGCTGCCGCTCCCGGAAGCGGCTCTCCGCCAGCGCGTACTGCTCGTTGCGCAGCACCGACGTGGCCGCCTCCCAGCTCCACCGCCTCGCCTGGTGGCAAGTGCCGGGTGGCGGTCAAGCCACGCGGAGCCCGTCTCCTCGCGACGGAGCGTCTCACGCCGCGCTGCCGCGCCTCGGCGCACGCCGCTCGGCCCATCTCCCGCCGCAGCAGCGGATCGTCGATCTGCGGGACACGGGGGCAGATTTGTGAAGTGGACTTGTGAAGTCGAGATCGTAGTAGCCGATCAGAGGCCTCTCTCACACAGCCGAATGCGGCCGAATGCGGCGGAAGACGTGCTCCTCTCGAGCGCTGGTGGGAGTACAGGGAAGACGGGGTTCAGCTTCTAGGCCCCCCGGCCAGCCGCCCAACCTTCGCCGCCAGGTCGGCCCCGTCGCCCGGTGTGAAGAGCAGCCCCGTCTCGCCTATTCACAGCTGTACTGTTCACAGCTGTACTCTTCACAGTTCGGCGTGAAGAGCAGACCCGTCTCGCCTATTCACAGCTGTACTGTTCACAGCTGTACTCTTCACAGTTCGGCGTGAAGAGCAGCCCCGTCTCGCCTATTCACAGCTGTACTGTTCACAGCTGTACTCTTCACAGCTGAGCGTGAACAGCAGCCCCGTCTCGCCGTCCGCCACCAGGCTCGACAGCCCGCCTGCCCACAGCTTGCGTGTGTGCGCGGCCCGCGTCTCCTTTGTGTCACGGCCGCCACCAGAACAGACAGCCCGCCGTGCGTCGGCGGCTAATCTCGGCGCATCTCGGCGCATCTCGGCTAATCTCGGCTAATCTCGGCTCAATCTCGGCTAATCTCAGCCCGCCGGCGTCGGCGGCGACGGCGGGCACGCCCGAAGCCATCGCCTCGAGCACGACGAAACCCAGCGTCTCCGAGTCGGAAGGCATCACCTGCGCCCAACCACCAGGACATCTCTCCCCATCTCTCCCCATCTCTCCCCATATCTCCGAGTCGGAGGGCATCACCTGCGCCCAACCACCAGGACGCCTCACCGCAATCGTGTCACGCGGCTGTCGCCCGGCGACTCGGCGGGCACTCACAAAGACGTCCGCCGCCGCGTACGCGCGCGAGAGGTCCTCGCCCTGCAGAACGCCTAGTAGAAATGAAATCGCCGATGGGCGGGGCTTTCTTTTTTACGAGAGGTCCTCGCCCCCGCAAAACGCCGGCAAACACCGCCGCCGCACCGGCAAACTCGCGGCGCAAACTCGCCTCCGGGCAGACCAGTCAGAGGGAGGTGTTGACCGTTGGTGAGGGACGGTGTGAGAGCAGAGCTGTGAACAGTACAGCTGTGAAGAGTGCAGCTGTGAATAGGACGGTGTGAGAGCAGAGCTGTGAACAGTACAGCGGTGAAGAGTGCAGCTGTGAATAGGACGGTGTGAGAGCAGAGCTGTGAACAGTACAGCGGTGAAGAGTGCAGCTGTGAATAGGACGGTGTGAGAGCAGAGCTGTGAACAGTACAGCGGTGAAGAGTGCAGCTGTGAATAGGACGGTGTGAGAGCAGAGCTGTGAACAGTACAGCGGTGAAGAGTGCAGCTGTGAATAGGACGGTGTGAGAGCAGAGCTGTGAACAGTACAGCTGTGAAGAGTGCAGCTGTGAATAGGACGGTGTGAACTCGCCTCCGCTGGCCCCCCGCCAACGATCGCCAAAGTCGCGTCCGGCCTATTCACAGCTGCACTCTTCACAGCTGCACTCTTCACAGTTCTGCTATCGCCAAAGTCGCGTCTGGCCTCGCGTCCAGCACCGCCCGCAGCAGCTCGACGCGCCTGTGACCGAGTCACCACCTTCGCTGGCCAAAGAGCCGAGACAGCCTGGCCGCAGCAGCTCGACGCGCCTATGACCGAGTCACCACCTTCGCTGGCCAAAGAGCCGAGACAGCCTGGCCGCAGCAGCTCGACGCGCCTGTGACCGAGTCACCACCTTCGCTGGCCAAAGAGCCGAGACAGCCTGGCCGCAGCAGCTCGACGCGCCTGTGACCGAGTCACCACCTTCGCTGGCCAAAGAGCCGAGACAGCCTGGCCGCAGCAGCTCGACGCGCCTGTGACCGAGTCACCACCTTCGCTGGCCAAAGAGCCGAGACAGCCTGGCCGCAGCAGCTCGACGCGCCTGTGACCGAGTCACCACCTTCGCTGGCCAAAGAGCCGAGACAGCCTGGCCGCAGCAGCTCGACGCGCCTGTGACCGAGTCACCACCTTCGCTGGCCAAAGAGCCGAGACAGCCTGGCCGCAGCAGCTCGACGCGCCTGTGACCGAGTCACCACCTTCGCTGGCCAAAGAGCCGAGACAGCCTGGCCGCAGCAGCTCGACGCGCCTGTGACCGAGTCACCACCTTCGCTGGCCAAAGAGCCGAGACAGCCTGGCCGCAGCAGCTCGACGCGCCTGTGACCGAGTCACCACCTTCGCTGGCCAAAGAGCCGAGACAGCCTGGCCGCAGCAGCTCGACGCGCCTGTGACCGAGTCACCACCTTCGCTGGCCAAAGAGCCGAGACAGCCTGGCCGCAGCAGCTCGACGCGCTTCTCCGCGCCGAGCCGCCCGACGTACAGCAGCAGCGGCCTAAAAAAGAAATCGCCCAGCGTCGGGATTTCTTTTTTACGAGCCGCCCGACGTACAGCAGCAGCGGCCTACGCGATCTCGGCCAAATCTCGGAGGGCGGCGGCGGGAGAGGCGGCACGAGTCCAGCGACAGCAGCGGCGGCCGGTGCGGCTGCCCGCCCGTCAGCGCGTGCCGGGCGTGGGAGTTGGAGGCGTTGAAGGCGGGCGAGAAAGTGAGCGTGTCGACGCCCTTGCGCCACACCTCGACGCGCCTGCAGCCGAGCGCCTCCCCTACCCCCAAAGGTACCCGAACCCACCCTCCCCTACCCCACGGTACCCGAACCCACCCTCGACGCGCCTGCAGCCGAGCGCGCGCAGCTGCTGCTGCAGCTGCGGGCTCGTGGCGAGCGTGAGGTCGGCGCAGTTGAGCAGCCGGGGCAGCAGCGCGTCTGCCAGCTTCACCGCGAGCCAGCGCAAGCCTGCGGGTCCGGGCCTTGGTAACATACACAGGCGAGGCGAGGCGAGGCGAGGCGAGGCGAGGCGAGGCGAGGCGAGGAGAGGAGAGGAGAGGAGAGGAGAGGAGAGCAGAGCAGAGGAGAGGAGAGCAGAGGAGAGCAGAGGGGAGCAGAGGAGAGCAGAGCAGAGCAGAGGCGAGGCGAGGCGGCGCCGGGGGTGGTGACGTAGCGCGCGGCGTAGACGGAGAGGTGTGTGTGGTACGAGACGACGAGAGGGACGGAGAGGAGGCGAGAGTACCTGCACTCGCGGGTGCGGGTGCGTGTGTGAAGAGTCGCCGTTCACACAGAGAGAGGCGCGCGCGAGGGGAGGCGCGCGCACAGGATGGCGGGCAGGGCGAGGACGCCGGGGGCAGAGACGTGGAGGAGGCTTGGCCTATTCACAGCTGTACTGTTCACAGCTATACTATTCACAGGGCAGAGACGTGGAGGAGGCTTGGCCGGAAGGAGCGGAGGGCGCGGAGGGCGACGCGGCGGCAGTCGAGCGAGAGCTGGACCTGACGAGGTGTGAGGAGCGTCTGCTCGGGTGAGGGTGAGGGTGAGGGTGAGGGAGAGGGAGAGGGTGAGGGTGAGGGTGAGAGTGAGGGTGAGGGTCAGCGGCGGTGGCGCGAGTGCAGTGTCGCCTGCTTGTAGAAAAGAAGGCGGAAGCCGGGCAGGTAGGTGATCGGTACGCCGAGGAAAGAGCGCGGCCGCTCCGGTGTGTCGTCCGGCGTGATCACAGTCACCTATTCCAGGCGAGGTGGAGGCGGTTCGGTGTGGTCGGGCGACAGCGCACCACCAGCCTGTGCACCTCGTCGCCAGCAGCGACCAGGAAGCGGAGCATCTCCTTGAAGCGATTGGAGTAGCCGCTGATGTGCGTGAATGGTGTGGGCTCCACGAGCAGCGCAACTCGGCGGGGCGGGTAGAGGTTGAGACGCGGCACTTGTGGTGGCTCGAGCGGCGTCGCCAGGTGCAGGAGCGCCACGAACAGCATAGAGCCGACCGCGCCCCAGGTGCGTGCCGCTGTCTTGCTTGGGGGTTCGTGGTTTGGTGGGTCGGTCAGCGTCGCGAGGACGGACGCAGGCGACGCCGCGCAACACCATCCCCGCCGGGATGGCTTCCTCCGCGTCATCGTCGTCGTCGCCGCCGACAGCATCGCCGTCGTCGCCCACACCACCCGCCGCCGCGACTCGTCGTCCCCTCGACGCGACGCTTTGCACCGTGCTGCTTGGCACGCGCGACGAGGGCAGCCCGCTCTGCAAGCTCGCGGGCCACGTGGACGTGCTCGAGGCCATCTGGGTGCTCGTGGAGCGCGAGCGGGCGCTCGACGCGCTTCGCGCGGACAAGGAATGCGTTGCATTCGCGCACGTGGACGACGTCAGCTTCCCGACGCCCAAAGGCCGCAACGTGAACATGATGCCCTTTCGTCTCGACGACCTCTCGACTCTGCCCGCCGACTTGCAAAAGGACTATGGCTACATGATCAAAGTCTGCCGCAACAACCTGAGAGGCTGCAGGGATGAGCAACGGAAGCCAAAGTACAGCGTTGGGCAGGCGAAAGCTCAGGCCACGCCAATGCCAGAGGACATGCGCATCGCCTACCTGACGGTGCAGGAGAGCGTCGTCAACGAGGGCGAGTCGCAGCGCCGCTCGGGCCTTCACACTGAGGGATTCGCGTACCTGCCGTTCGAGGCTGGCAAGCAAGAATGCGTGCGCGAACGGGTCTGGGAGCCTTGGGGCTACGGAGACGCGCTGCATGGCGAGTTCACCGGAGGCATATTCATGGCGTCGGATGTGGACGACTCTACGCACGTCTACAATTGCCGCGTCCCCGAGATCCTCGTGGGCGCGGGTGGCGATGTTGAGCACCTGCGGCCCATTCTGAACGAGATTATGCCGTTGTCCGCCAAAGCGCGCTATGAGGATGGCGCAGGCGACACCATCGGCTCGGCGCACCTGATTGAAGGCGGCGTGCAACGCGTTCTTTGGCCGATCAGCCTGCAGGCCGAGCAGCTCTTCTGGATGACCGACCACACGCCGCACGAGTCGCGGCCGCTCGAGAAGGGACAGCACCGATGCTACTTCCGGCTTGTCACCGGGCGCGTCGGCGCATGGTTCGCCGCGCACTCGACGCCCAATCCGCTCGGCACGCAGCCGAATGCGCGCATCATCACGCACGACAAGTTCACCGGCAAGCCGCCTCCCGCCAAGGGAGACTTCAAGGAGGAAGCGTCGGCGGCAGCAGCAGCACCACCAGCACCAGCACCAGCAAATGATGCGACCGAGGACTCCGAATTGACGCGCCTTGAACGCCTTGTGAACTGAATTGAGGTACTGTGGAGAGAGGTGTTTTGCTAGTGTGAGTGCGCCGTTTTACAGGCACATCATGCCGTTTCATAAGTGTATAAGTTGCATCGATGCCCGCGTACCTGAAGGCGATCAAGCCGATCACGCGCGAGCCGTGGACCATCGACCAGCAGGTCTACAACGCGACCTTCGACACGTCTGACTTTGGCAAGCCGACGCGCTACGGCATCGACATGGACCCGCCGCTCTCGGCGTACCGCCTCGACGACCCGCGCATGCGGCCGCGCGGCGCGAAGAAGGGGTGGGACTCGTCGACGTTCCGGCAGGTGCCGTACTCGCTCCGCGGCATCAAGCCTTCGGCCACGTCCACCGAGCCGTGGGTCAAGGACCAGGCCAACCGCGCGGGCGACTTTGAGGACACGGACGTGCTCGAGAACGAGACCGCGGTGCAGCTCGACAACGGCGGAGAGGCGCGCTTCAAGAAGGGCGCGTTCAACGCGTACAAGAACGAGCGCAACCGCAAGCTCCACGCCGACCCGTGGGACTCGTCGACGCGTAAACGGCGAGAGAGAGAGAGAGAGAGAGCGAGGCAGGAGCTATCTCCCGTCGAGTCTGTGCCCTCTCGGTCTGCTGCATTGCTGCGTCGCCGCTTGTTTGTGAGAGTCTATTAGGAACAGAGAATGATGACGCGCGAGGAGCGCCGGTTTCTTCCCTCCGAGGTAGAGCGTCCTGGCCTTCCTCTCCACTCGGATGTCCGTCTCCTGGTTCGCCCTTCTTCGAACGTGTGTTCTGTCATGTTGGGTCCGCTCGTGCACACCCCGTTTGCCTCCCTGCTGTATTCAATGAATCGATCGAGCACGTCGCTCCACGACGGAGCATTACTCTTTCCATTGCACGTCTCTAGTGCTCTGCCCGCTTGCGCTGCCTCCGGCCCCGAACTACCTAGTCTTCTGCGGTGTTCTAGCCACTCTCGGAAGGACGCCGCTTGCCGTCTCACGCCTTGCGCGTGCATTAGCTCCCGCTCCCATGTGTTAGCGAGCTTACCGACAAATCCTACGCTCTCCATCTTATCGTGCCACACCCAACTGTCGCTCCGCTCGCCTTCCCATTCGCAGAGGTACTCCCATCCGTGTTCGTCCTCCCCCATGCCTCCCCCATAGCAGGTCGGCGCCTTCCTTGCCGCCTTCACCTTCAGCACCCTATCGGGCGCCCTCCGTCCCATCTTCTGTCCGTGTGCGCGCTCTTCTATAACCGCCCACTTCCAGTATTGTCGCAGCTGTGCCCACTCTGGTCGCTCCAGCTGCTCCGCCAGCCTCTTGTATTCGCTATGTTCCGTCGTGCTGTCTTTGAGGCCATAGACTCGCTTCACTTGCGGCCACGTCAACACTTCCCCGGTGCCCCATACCCCCATTCTGACACGTCCGACCATGTCGCTATCCCGTGCTTGGCTAGGTTACGTGCAAAGTCACACGCGAGGCCTTGGTTATTGGTAATATCCCCTTTGCAGCCAACGTACTAATTCTTTTTCCACTGAGACGCTGTCAATCACTCCTCTGAAAATTTCGATGGAAGCCGACGCTCGTGTTTGCTGGGGCGCTGAGCTCTCGGGGACGCGGTCGCGCTGCGCAGCGCCGGTCACCTCGGCGGTGGACGCCTCGACGCCCCACGCTGCGTCTCAAGTAGCGGGGCATCTTGCGAGCAAGGCAACAGCGCTCCCATGCGGTCGCTGCATACCCACTCCACGCCTCGCCTCAGCCGTCTCTTTTTCTCTTTAGATGTGCAGCCGCTGCCGAGCTGAGCTCGCTATCCCGTGCGACCGCGTCCGAATGCTGAACCAAGACACGGCGGACAGCCTGCGCATGGTCAAGACGAGCGGCGTGTGGAGCGTGTGCGAGGGCGCGTTTCATGGCAAGGCCTTTCGCCTCGCCAACAACACCAAGCGGTCCAACATGAAAAACCACGTCGGAGCGCCAATGGCGATCCTGGCACTGGCGCCGCCGCCGCCGCCGCCCGCCGCCGATGCCGCCGATGCCGCCGATGCCGCCGATGCCGCCGATGCCGCCGATGCCGCCGATGCCGCCGATGCCGCCGCCGCCGAACCAACTGCTCGCAAGCGAGAGCGGGAGGGGCAAGAGGAGGTACTCGTGGACCTACAGCTCTTGAGCCAACTCGTCGAGGAGGGCGAGCAGAGCTCCGCCGTTTTTGCGGGCGTCGGCCCGCCTCTGCCGCATTCCGCAGCTGCGGAGGCGGATCCGGCGGCGGCGGCGGCGGATCCGGCGGCGTTGATTGGGCCAACGGGTTCGGGAGTGGGCTCGGCGTTCGCGGATAGCATGGGGCCAGTTCTCGCGCCGAGAGTGGCTGCACTGGACAGTCGCGCTCCTCTGCAAGTAGGCGCCGCGCTATGTCTCTCGGTTCGTCTGCCGCTTCGTCGGGTGCGGCAAGGACTACGCGTCGACCGATAGCGTGCGTTCCCATTGCAGGTACAGCGGTGTGGCGCCCGAATTTCACCCCCCACCCCACCCCCCCCCCCCCCCAACCCCCCCCCCCCTTCCCCCAACCCACGCAGGAAGGAGCACCCGGCCTGGCTGAACAGCCTTCCTGCCCGCAAGCCGTCCCTCCTCTGCGAGCAAAAGCAGGTCGAGATCGCGCCCTCCGTCTCGACCTCGCCGGTCCCAGACGAGTATCTGCACGAGGGCGAGGGCGGCGCACTCTTCGTCAAGTTTAAGGTCTCCAACCGCACCCTCGTGCCCCTCATGCGGAGTGAGGGCGTGGCACGGCTCGCCTCGAGCACGGAGACGGCGCCGATGAACACGCCGGGCGAGCTGCAGGCTGGCTCCCCGCTGCCCTTGCCGCTCCTCGAGCACCGTCAAGAGCAGGCCGGCGGCGGAGGTGATTTCGAGGGCGCGGCGCCTCACGTAGATCTAGCGCAAGTCGCCGTGGACGTCTTCTCTGGCGACGAATTGATGGCGCTGATGAGCGACCCCTCCGCCTCCGTGCCGCCCTCGCCACCGGCCACGCCGGCGCCGCTGCTCTTCGCGGCGCACCAGGGCGTGATAGCACCGATCCAGGTCACGCTCGCCGTCGTGGTGGTGTGCGTCGCCTTCCTGGCCGAGCTCTACACCGTCCCGGTCATCCTGTTCGCGGCCGCGGGGCTGGCCGTGATTGACGTCGCCTACATGGCACAAGCCTCGCCTCGCATTGTCGCGCGCGCGGTGATGCTGCTGGTCGTGAGTGCCCCGACGCTGCGTGTCGTCGACGTCCTCGTCCGCTCGCCGGCAGCGCTGATTGATGAGCTCGACAAGCTGGAGGACGCAAGGCTTGGCATGGTCGCGCTCTTTGTAGCGGGCGGCGCCACCTTCGGAGCCTTCTCGCCCTCCACTCTCTCTTGCAAATGTAAGCTACGCGCAGCGGCCTACTCTGTCTGCGCAGCTACGTGCGGCGACTCGATCTTCCGCGTCCGAATGGGCGACGAGCGGATGCCTGCCTTTGCGATTCTTAACGGCGCCCTTCCCTTCTTTGCGGCCGTCCTCATTGCCCACGTAGCCTCTCGGCAGCTTTATCAGACACGACTCCCCGCGCTCTGACGCTATAGCTTGCACTCATGTCATCCGGCGGGGCTGAAATCAGAGTATGCTAGGACAAAGCATGTAGCATGTGCATGTGCATGTGCATGTGCATGTGCATGTGCATGTGCATGTGCATGTCATGTCATGTTCATGTTCATGTCATGTTCATGTTCATGTTCATGTTCATGTTCATGTTCATGTTCATGTTCATGTTCATGTTCATGTTCATGTCATGTGCATGCACACACGTTGTGAGCATAATGGGCGGGATCCGGGATGGTGGCCAACAAACACTGCGACCCCTCACTGTGTCCCGCTGACGGGAAGTGATTTCTTTGTCTTCCCACGCACAACATCGAATGGTCGGGTAGCACATGTACATGTACGGCTTCAGGGCTAGAGGGTCGCTCTACACTTAGCCTCTGCAGCGAGCGAGCGCTCAACTGACACAAGGCCAATAACTCCGGGTAAAACCAGGTTTAGTAACGGTTTACCCAAAAACTACGTTGGAGACGCACCTGTCCGCTACCCCCACTCTACCGAGACGGCCAGTTTGCCTCGTTTTTTCAAGCCTTATTGCTATTATATAGTCTATAATAGTTAATAGGCTCATAGATGGATGGCGAGTGCGCTGCGATAGAGGCGGCTCGAAAAAGAAAGGCTCACAGAGATCGACAGAGACACAGAGCTCCTGGGATCAGAACGGGCGCACAGAAAGACAGACCGACTCATACAACTCTCAAGACTTCAACGAGGACCGACACGCAAGCTTCCACTTCGTCCACTAACTTGGCTACCCCTCTCTCGTCGTATCTCCCCTCCCAGGGGACCACCTCGGCGACACAAGTCCGCAACTGGTACACCGCGCCTCGGCGCTCGCTCGAGTTGCCAGCCGCCGTCGTGGCTATCCACGCACTCTGCTGCGGCCGGCGACCAGCGCAAAGCATCGTCACGCCGTATGCCGCGAGGGAGGGCGCGCGGCGGAGGAGACGAGCAGGAAGTCGCCTTCGCTGTGGTTCGAGAGCAGCATCGGCACCGGCCGCCGTGCCGGCCACTCCTCCCACGCGTCGTCCGCCGCCACCGTCTTTGCGACGCCGGTGGCGGCGCACTTTGTGACGTTGGTCACGAGGCCGCGCCGGCCGAGCGAAGCCACGTTGTGCACCGCGCCGACGGTGGAGCCGACGGCGCACAAGGCCGAGGAGGTGACCCGTCCGGCGTCCTCTCCGAACCGGTGGCTGACAGCGCCAGAGGCGACAGCCGCCGTCGACGAGCAGACCTGCACAGTCGGGCTCGCGGCGCCTCAAGCGCGGCTGCTATCTCGTCCTACCATCGGGGGGGGTGAGGCGGACCTGCGAGCCCGACTGGCCGAGCGCGTCAAACACCTCGCGCGTGGCTGCGACAGAGGCGCCCCCTGCAGGGGCGGCATGCGACGGCTCAGGCAGCGTGGGCAGGAGGGCGATGGGGCAGGGGGCGGGCCGGAAGGGGGTGGGGACGGCGGTGAGGGGGAAAGA